AGTGGGGCGCTTGCTCAGGGAGAGGGAAGGAGTCTGGCATAGTACCAATCCAACTCGAGGAAAGGGGAAGAGGATTGCCAGGAAAAGATCCGTAGGACTGGCAAAGGGAGAGGCTGGACATCCTGGCCCTAAACATCTCCATTTCTATTCACCAGCGCAGTAAACTAAAGCCCAGAGTCAGAAGTACACTCCCCAAAGTGAAGAGAGAAAAAGAACTCAGAGCTCAGCCCTCCATCCTAACCCCTGAGTGTCTTTAGGAGGCTGTGTGGCCAACCGAAAAGCAGCACTTTGGACTCCGTCAGACATGAACTCAAATCCCAAACCCTGCATGGGCTGTGTGAGCAGAGAGGTGTCACGTAGCCTGCTAGTCAACTTTGTAAAGTTTTTGTGAAGATTTAAAGAGATGACACATCTAAAGTTCCTAGCCCATGCCTGTCATGTGTGGTGGGCACACAATAATTGTTCATTCTTTCCTCTTCTGTTTCACCCTGATCTTGCTCGGATAACACTCAGACTTCAGTCCAGGGGTCTGGCGAGAACAGTGTCATACAGTAGATGCCTCAGTTCTGCACCCGTTAAGTCCAGGAATGGGGCTGGCACAACGGTGACGTCAGCACTTGTTGACTGAGTGAAGGAAAGATAAAAGTAACAAACTCGCACCTAGCAGTTCCTCAAAAGCAGCTCAGTTTCCTCTCTGTATCCCTGGTGCCTGGATCAGGAGCAGGACCATGGGGACCATTTATAAACAAAATGGCACTGACTGGAACCCAGTCTGGTGGTCCTCTCCTGCCTGTGATGCCCCCACTGTGTGATCAGACAGGCAGACGGCTGTTTTTTGTTGTTGTTTGTTTTTTCAACATTTTGGCCATGTCCCGTGGCGTGTGGGACCTTAGTTCCCCGACCAGGGATTGAACCTGCGCCCCCTGCAGTGGAAGCTCGAATCTTAACCACTGGACTACGAGGGAAGTCCCCAGACAGCTGTTTTTACACTCAGATCTTAGCCTCAGCCTGCTGCTGCCAAGCCTTCTGGACCCTGCACTGTGATGTACGTGTCTGCTTGTGTGGGTGTGTATCCATGTGTGTCTACATTTGTGGGTGCACGTGTCAGGTGTGTGTTGGCGCACGTGGGTGTCTGTGCATGCTTGTGTGGATGTGGGCACAGCTCTTCATCCAGGCCTGGGTGACAGTTGTGAATGTGTTTTTAAGGACACATCTCTGGGAACAGGACTCTGTGTGCCTGCACCTCTTCGTGCATGTCTGAGCCTCCAGGTGTGACCACACGTTGACAGAATTATAGACAATGGATATGTGTGTATCTGCCTTTACACCAGGGTTTCTCAACCTCAGCACTACTGACATTTGGGGCTGGATAATTTTTTGTTGTGAGGGTCTATCCAGTACCCTGCAGGATGGTTAATCCCCTCTACCCACTCCATGCCAGTAGAAAACTCCCCGCCCCCACTTCTGACAATCAAAAATGTCTCCACACGGGGCTTCCCTGGTGGCGCAGTGATTGAGGGTCCACCTGCTGATGCAGGGGACACGGGTTCGTGCCCCGGTCCGGGAAGATCCCACATGCCGTGGACCGGCTAGGCCCATGAGCCACGGCCGCTGAGCCTGCGCGTCCGGAGCCTGTGCTCCGCAACGCGAGAGGCCACAACAGTGAGAGACCCACGTACTGCAAAAAAAAAAAAAAAAAAAATGTCTCCACATGTTGCCAATTGTCCCCTGGGGGGGCAAAATGGCCCTGGGTGAGAACTCTTACTTTATCCAAATCTGCCTATGCCTTTGCTCACATGTTGGGTGTGTCTATACCTGACCCAGTGTGTGTTCCCTGTGTATACACCACCCGTGTGTGCCTGGTGTATCTGCCCTGGGGGTGCGTCTTTTGTGCTGTGTGGATCTCTTGGGTGTGCTCTACCTGTACACCTTGTATGTGCATCTGTGTGGGGACCCTACGTGAATTGGCTGTATTGCCTCCTGTGTGTATCAGCCAGCGCCTCTGTGTGCATGTAATATTTCTGTGCGCGTGATAGCACGTAAGTGAACGTGTGAGCACAGATGTGGTGAGCACAGTCGGGGTGGCAGGGAGGGAGGGCCAGGAACAGGGATATTAATGTTTCTGAAGTGGATCTGATTTGATACGTCTTGTTCCATTGTCAGCATCTGTTTAGCGGGGATTTGTAATACTTCGTGGCTCTGGATCACTCATGCTTAGCGCAGGATTTGGCCTTGCATACCAATTTTGTTATTAAACACAGTCCTCGCCTCCCCCACAGCCCATCCATCACCTCCCACCCCTGCTCCCCCCACTCTGAGCCGCCCACCGTATTTCAGGGCCCAGCTACCGCCCACCTGCCGCGCCTGATGCCGGAGGGCCTGGGGCTGACAAATTGAATCAGGGGGAGATCATTCCTGGCCTAACGCAGTTTGCAGCATGTTGGAGGGAGAATTGACAAGAGCCATGTCAGTTCTATCACCCCAATCCCATAGGAGCTAAGAGCAGGCTGAGGACTGGGTTGGAAGGAAGGGGGCAGGACAGGAAGAATCCTCAGGGCTGATAGGAGCAGTCAGGTAAAGCCCCTTTCCTCAGATCCACGAGACAGCCTACCATGCCTAGTGTCAGTACCCCTGCCCAGGAGCCCACTCTGGCCCCTGATGGAGGCTGAGTGAGGCAGGGCCAGCTGGGGCTGAATGGGCTGGGTGGAGCTTGGCTGTGGGGGGCTGGGCTAGGCTGGCTATGTCTTCTCTCCTTGGGATCTTCTTCCTATTCTACTCTTACACGCCCTGGGCAGCAAGTGGAATGGTCACCCTGTTCTCTTCTTTCTTGGCAGTAAGAATTCCCTTCTGAAGGATGCCATGGCTCCAGGCACCCCCAAGGTAGGTGGACAATTGTGTTTTCCTCCAGCCCATCCTAACCTAAGCCCACTCAGAACTGGTTCTTGAGAAAAAGGAGCTCTTCTTGGATCCCCAGCTGTTTTCAGGGTTTGATCGTCAGCCTGAGGCCTCGGGCTGCCCTGTGCACTTGAGTACATGTGTGTATACATGTGAGTAACAGTATGCTCACCTGACTTTCTCTTCTAGTCAGGATGGGGTAAAAGCCAAGAATGACCTGGGGGTGTGGGGGACCCAGACACTAAGTCTGGGGAGACTCAAAGGAGGAAGGTGAGCTGTAGCAGGTAAAGAAAAATATAGAAGTGCAGGTCAAGACAGGTGCTGCAGGGCCTTAGAAGCCAGACCATGGGGTGTGTGCATGTGCTTTGTCCTGAGGGCAACAGGGAGCCAGAGAGGATGCTGGGCTCTTTTGGGGAGACAATCTGACCCTCTGAACAGACACTATGGAAGGGAAGCTTGAAAGCATCAGATGGAGAAAGGAAGAGTTAAGGACAAGTGGCTCAAAGGAAGGGCCAGAGGCCTCAGCAGAATGACATGACTTGTACCAAGAACTCCCATAGATGGCCACACAGGTAGATGGTACTGCATCCCCAAAGGTGATGATGTTTTGAGGGAGTGAGGAGCTGGGGTTGGAGGACTAAACACTCACTCACTGAGTGTCCTCTCCCCCACCCCTCAGTAAGGTGGCATCCTGTCTTATAAGTTCTCACAATGACTTGTAAAAGCAGAAATCCTCAGCCCTTTCTACAGGGAGTGAGGAATGAGTGCTGAATGGATACATTTTTTTTTTTTTGGCTGCGCCGCATGGCTTGCAGGATCTTAGCTCCCCAACAAGGGATTGGTCGAACCCTTGGCAGTAAAAGTGCGGAGTCCTAACCACTGGACCACCAGGGAATTCCCCAGAATGGATGAAATCAGTAAGGGAGTGTGTGTGGAGAGATCAGAGCAGAAGCCAAGAAGAGAGTCTGGGACTCCTGTGCTGGGGGTCAAGAGAAGGTCCCAGAGCCAGGGAAGGAGCAGAAGAGGAACAGTGATGAGTGAGGAGGGGCACAGGAGAGCATGGTGTCCCAGGATCCTAAGAGAAGAAAATTCCAAAATGTCTGGGCTGGTCAGCAGTCAAGCAGAAAAGGGCTAGAGAAGGAGGCCATTGTATTTAGAAGTCTTAAAAGCACTGGTGACCTCTGAGAGAGCAGTTTTGGGAAAAGGAGCCAGAGTGACAATCTTACTTCCAGGGGGTTGGCCTGTCTCCCCTGCAGGCCCTTCAAAAAGGTGGGAGTGGACTCCGCATTTTCATTCAGGAAATCACTCAACACAGCAAGCTGGACAGAGGAGGGGCAGGGAACCTAGCCCAGCCCTGGACTGATGCAGGCCCTTGCCAAGGAAGCAAAGCCCTCCCAGCCCTAAAGAGAAAAGGCGTTGGGGGAGAAGTGGGGGGCCACACCGGCAGAGCTTGGCCCAGGCTGCAGTCGCCAGTGGCTATGGTTAAGGCAGGCAGGTCACGGACGTGCTGCCAGGTCAGCCACAACCACTGACCCCTGACACCTGAGCATGGCCGGCAGGCTGGGGACTGGACCCCAGTGAGGCCTGTGTTCAAAGCACAAACACAGACACGATCCACGACCACACCTGGTTCCCCACATACACAGATGCACACCCACCTGGCCCCGTCAGAATACTCATACAGGAAGTCTTAAATATGTGCAGATTCCTGCAACCACCACCGCGGGCTCATTGATAATCAGACTTAGAGGCAAGGGCCACCGCTCACCCACTTCTAGATATAGGCTCACGCCCCCAAAGCTGCCTGTCTCAGGGTCTGTCCTCAGCCTGGAATGGGGCTTTAGGGAAGCAGGTCATGGGTAGAAGAGGCACGAGGTAGAAGGTTCAAGCAAGAGACTGAGAGGACAGGGAGGAGGGAGGGAGGAGGAGGAGAGGGCGAGGGGGCCTCAGACAAGATTGATGGCCTCGTTGCCATTAAGAAAAAAATTAGCCGGTGGCGGCTATCATATTAAAGGGTGAAGAAGCCGTGAATTATTTTCTTAAAGATCTTATCGCTTACAATGATAATTTTACCTTCCAAAAGGCCACTTTTAATGAGGCGAAGAGCCAGGCAAAAAGTCATGATTTAATGTCGGGATTTTTTTTTCAAAACACATTTTACTGCTTTTTGGTCCATGTTTAAAAAGCGCCAGTGACCTTTTTTTATTCCGCTTGCCCCAGGTGTAATGCTGAGGCCTCTCAGGGCTTCTAACCTAGAGAGAATGAAAGAGAGCACACAAGCGTGAACTTTCTCATGATGGGGGGGCAGGGGCCCCACGATGCTTCCCCTCCTCAGCATCCTCCTTGGGACCAGAGAAGGAAAGGCCATTGCCTGAAAGCCTACCTCTTTTCCGAGCTGGGGGCCAAGGCACCCACTCGGCCTCCCACTGGGCCTGGGTAGGTGAGGAAAGGGCTCCAAGTTGCAGGGAATCCCATCCCAGTCCCTGCCTGGCCTCTGCCCTCCTCTGCTCTTGTGATGAGGCCGAGTCAGGGAGCCCTGCCAGACCAGCAGCTGCTCCCCTTCCCAGGGCCCTCGCCTGAGGATGCGCAGCGTGGCCACCGCATGCAGGTCACATCCTAAGGCTCAGTCGGAGATGAAGGATAAATGGCTGCTCCATCTTTCCCAAATTGCTTTCTTTGGGCTGTCAGTGGCGATTTGGCATGGTTTTCTAAGCTGGGGAGGCCTCCTAGGGAATTGTATGCTTCCGGCTCTGGGCTGTGCAGGCTGGAAAAGGTGGGGGGGAGGAAGTATGGATTGCTTTCAGGCCTCCAGGCCCCAGTTTGCAGTTGAACAGGCCTTGGCAAGAGGCAGCAAGAGCAGGCTGAACGTGCCATGTGGTATTTAGAATTGCGGTGCTCGCGTACAATTTAAAGCAGACAGTTTATTAATCTAAACTGCGGGCATATGTAGAAGAGCCCATGCAGGACTGACATGGGGGGATTAATTTTGCTGGGATTTTTGCTGGGGTCATCGCCACAGTACAGGGATAAATGGAGCCAGTGTACATCCCTAGCTGCACGAAGGAAACTCTTACACACTATTTAATTTACTGTCTCCATAGCGGGGCTGCCACCAGCCTGTATTAGGGGCAGGCAGGGCAGCAGGGATGTGGCTTTACCCCCAACCCTTCAGAGGGGTCCCAGAGTCTCTGCTCACTATGGGAGAACAAAGCCTATATATAGTCTCAGCCCACTGGGAGGCCTGCCCCACTGGGACAGAGATTCGCTGGGGTGGAAGAGGTTGGACCCTCTCCAGGGGTCTCCACCCATCCCTAGGATCAAGCTATCCTTTCCCACAACCAGACTCTGGGGGCCCTGACCACATGCCTTCAGAATCTCAAGCGGTTTCTACCCCTCTGCCCTCCTTTTCTCTGCCTCTATCCCAAAAGCTCCATAGGACTGGACACTCTAGGGAACTGACTGTAGGTCTCATTCAGCCTGAGGCCACGTGTCCTTTTTCTTCTTCCAGTCCCTCTTGTTGTCTGCTTCCATCAAGAGGGAAGGAGAGTCTCCGACAGCATCACCACACTCGTCTGCCACCGATGACCTGCACCACTCAGACAGATACCAGGTGAGGAGGGGTGGGATGGGCCCTGCCTTAATAGGGCAGGCCTGGGGCTAACTCCTCCCATCCTCAGGATACAAGGGGAAAGGCCTGAACTGTGTTTGGTTCCCTCTGTGTCTAATGCTTCTAACTGAACCGAAAGGCACAGGTGTCAAGGAATGTGCCGTAAATAGATGGATTTTAGGGAGAGATGCCAAGGTCACCTGGGCTCAGGTGGGCTCTTCGGAAGCATCCCAGCCATCTGGAGGTCTCCTCTAGGGTTCCGTTTCGAGAGAGAGAGAGAGAGAGAGAGAGAGAGAGAGAGAGAGATATTGCCTGTGAGTGCCTTGGGCATAACTATACAATCCTAAAACATCAGAGCAGGAGGGGGACCTAAGGGTAATATCCCAGCTTATACAGACCTTATTTGTGGTAGGAAGGAGAAGGAGCTTCCCCCAGAAGCTTCTGAGGAGAGACAGAGCCCTGCCTTCAGGAGCCCCAGTCAGAGGGCAGAAAACAGGGCTTGCTCCAAGGAACATGCTATCTAAATGGCAGCACGGCTTCTCAGGCAGCCCTTATGTGAACAGGGAAACACAGCCCTGACTAATGCAAAGAGACAAGGCAGCAGGGACCTGTCATCTGGGGTAGAGAACCAGGGCCACTGCTGGTACACAGGAAGCCTTTCTTGGAATTCGAGGTCTTCTCTCTGGGCACTTTTTCCTCCTAGCTGACACAGCCTGGCGTCAGGGTGCAGAGTTTGGTGAGTGGAATACGGAGTGTGGGCTGTACACCAGCTTCAACTAGCACCTCCTCTGCTGGATGCCCTTGTCTGGGACTCAAACTGCAGAGCCCAAAGTGCCAGCCCTGGGGAGGGATCCCTGCTCTTGTGAGCCCTGGTTTGAGAAAGGCAGTCAGTCCTCACCCAAACAATCCTGATTCAAGATGGAGAAATGACCCAACTCTAGGGGATTCTGGGATAGGGAGACAAGGCTCCATCCCAGAGAATTCTATCCCAGAGGGAGACAGAGCCCTGCCTTCAGAGGCGGATCCTCTCTATTTCAGCCCCAGCAGTCAGCTCCACTATTTGTTGAACTAGGGGAAGAGTAACCATCAGGCATAGGATGGCATGCTAGGCATAGGCTAGGTGTGCAAAGGCATAGCACCAAGGCCTCTGTGATTTAGAGTCAACCTTTCCAGCTTCCATTTCTAATACTGCCTTCCGTGAATCCTGTGTGCTCACCAGATTAATGCTAACCACTCGTTGGCTGTGCCACTCCTTTCTTGCCTCTCTGCTTTTACACATGCTGCGTTTAACCGGGTTATTTTACCCCACCCCATCAAATTTCTATTCATCCCTCAACAACCTGCCCAACTTCCCTCTGCTCCGGGAAGCCTTTCCGGATTAGCTTTCTCTTCTCATGACCGCTTCATGCCCATGTTATTGCCCTGATCATCTTATATCAACACCCATTTAAGTATGTTTCCATTATCTTCTAGTATATAACAATCCATCCCAAAACTTAGTGGCTTAATACAACTCATAATCTCTCATGATTTCTCATGATTCTGTCAGCTTAGTAGGCCTTTCCTCATTCATTAAGCTCATTCAGCTAGAGGACTAGCTGGCCTAGAAAGTCCAAAATGGCCTCACCACATGTCTGGGAGATTAGGGACCTTGGTTTTCTTCCATACGGCCTATCATCCTCCAGGAGGTTAGACTGGCTTCCTTACTTGGCAGTCTCAGGGCAGTGTCATGCCAAGAGGGCGAAGGCCAAAGCTGAAAGGCCTCTTGAGGCCTAGGCTCTGGAACTCACAAAGCTAACACAATCAAGGGATGAGGAAATACAGCTCTTTGATAGGAGGAGCTGCAAAGAATTATGAACATACTTAATCTATCATGATGAGCCTGACTCTTGCACTAGACTGACGGGCTCGCCAAGGCCCCTTCTTTACTCCCTTCCTTTACTCAAACACTTATCTAGTACTCACTCATGCTCAGCCCAGGCTCCCTGCCTTCACGGGGTTAGATGTGCAAATAGATAATTACAGCCCAGTGTTTTAAGTGCTATGAAAGAGAAAATCAGAATAAGATTCACAGAGGAGGTAATGACTGAACAGGATGAGTAGGAGTTCACTTTGGTGGACCAGGAAGAAAAGATATTCCAGATCAAGGCAACACTATGTATGTGCAAAAGGCAGAGAGGTGTAACACAGAATGATGTATTTGGGGACCCACTAGCAGTTCAGTTTTGTTAGAATGTAAAACACAAGGGGAACTGGTAGAAAGTGAAGCTGGAATCCCCTGATCTTTACACAACACCTGGCATGTAGTAGTTGCTCAATTATGTTGGACTGTTTTTGAAAAATCATCAGACTTGGCCCTGAAATCAGAAGGTACTGGTTTCTGGTTTGGATTCCCATTTCCTTAGCCCCTGCGGGGTTACCTAACCCTTTAACCATTACCTCACTTTACCCTCATAGCAACTGTGCAAGCTAGGATTCACTGCCCCCAATTTATAGCTAAGGAAACAGGCCTAGAGAGAAGAAGTGACTTTACTAAGAGCACTTATGTTATAAGTAACCAAGTCAGGATTTGAACTTGAGTTTGTCTGGCCCTGAATCCTAGATTGTTTCTCAGCCCTGCACTGGGCTTAGGGGCTTCCCTCATAAATATCCTCCTCCCCACCCCACGGATTTCTCCTGCATGCCAGACCCTGTTACTGGATAGAGATGACCTCCCAAGTAGAAGGGACAGGTCTGTAAACAGTCAAAATATCCAAGTTCAAAGGAAAGCCAAGGGACTGTGAAAACTCAGAGGAAGCAACTAACCCAACCCTGAGGGAAAAGCGAAGTCATCCCAGAGTCCTGCAGGATGAACAACAAACAGTTATCCAAGCAGGGAATATGGGTGCATGGAGAATAATATAGCCCAAAGTCCAGAGTATGGGGTGCTCAAAGAGCTACAGGTGGTGTCAGGAGGGGAAAAGGAGAGAGCAGGAGTGGCAGAAGAAGAGTCTGGAGAAATAGGCAGAGCACGTCAGAGACGACCTGTATGCCACGGTGCAGATCTCAGTGGAGAACCACTAAAGGATTTAAAGGGGAGAAGAAAGAGGGTCAATTTTGCATGATACAAAGATCACACTGCATGTACAGTGGAAGATGGGTTACAGGGAGAAAAGCTGGAGATGAGAAGGCCAGATGGGAGACAGCTGCAAATTTAGAGAGCTCCTAAGATTATGAACCAGAGCAAGGACATCCAAGATAGGTATAGTCACTGAAGAAACACGCAGGGATGGCTGGCCTGTGCCCAGCGCTGTGCCGGGCTCTGGCTTCACCCAGGACTCACACATGGCCCCATACCTGGAGTGGTCAGCCCACCGACAACCATTTGTACAAGCCATACTGAGAGTAGAGATGGAATTAGAGAGGAAATGATATTTTTCGGTTAGGCCTGGAAGGGCGAGAAGGAGATACACAGAAGGGGAGATAAAAAGATGTAGGAGACCTTTAGAGGTAGACTCTGAGATGAAAGAAGGCTTGAGTGTGAGGAACTGAAGGAGGGTGGGGTCAAGGACGACTCACTCTCAACTATCTGGTGTGGGCACACCAGAGTGGATGGTGGTATCCCGTTAGAAACTGAGAATCCTGGAAGTAGGCACTTGTTTGAGGGATGCTGGGTTCCACTTTGGCCGCGTGGCTGTGCGTTGCCAGTGGCAGCTCCAAAGGTTGTCCAGAAGACAGGTGAAACGTTGGGAATCCTCTAATATCGGGATTGATGAAAGGCTGGGGACTGGGGAAGAGACAGTTGAGACTCGCGGTGAGACGGCCGCTGCGATCAGGAAGTCCTACGCTATCTCCCCAGCAAAGGGGTAGCCGCGCGGGAGGCGGGAGCCAGGCGGGGTTCCGGGACGGAAGGAGCCCCGCGCTGGGAGGGGCCGTGGAGTAGGGTGGGAGGACCTCGCAGCCACTAAAACCTGGGCGGGTTGGCTTTGCGGCCGGTGGGAGGGACCCCAGGGCGGCCTCAGCCTGTTGCTGCCGGAGTGCGAGCCGCTGTTTCCTGGTCCCGGTCCGGCAGCCCCCACCACTTCTTGAACTTTCACCCCCGGCGCGCGACGGCGGCGAGTCACGTGATCAAGGCCAACATGGCCGCCGCCGCCGTTGGGAGCTGAGGTGCCGCCGCCGCCGGGCAGCCGGGGGGAATCCGCCCGCATCGCCGCCCTCGCCGGCCGGGCGGCCGCGGGGCCCGGAGCGCCGGAGGCCGGGGCTGGGGCGGCACTGCGCGGCGGCCACGGGGTCCCGCTAGAGCAGCCTCCGGCGGCTATGCCGAAGGCCCGGAGCGGCCGGCGGAGCAGGGGGGCCGGCGGGAGGGAGGAAGTAGGTTTGTTTACGGGCTGTTTGGGGCGGGGCAGGTGTGGACCGGGGGCTGGGGCTGGGGCAGGGGCAGGGGTCGGGACTCGAGGCCGCGCTGACGCTCTCTTCTCTTTTTTGCATTTGCCCGGGATCTTTTCCCAGACCTTCTTGCGAGTGCGAGCCAACCGGCAGACCCGACTGAATGGTGAGTCTTGCGCGGCCCCTCCCTCCGCCCCACCCCCGGCCTCCTCCTCCCTCACTGCCTGCAGTTCTTGACTTCCCTGGGTCTCTTCGACATTAGGGCCCGCTGGCGGCTTCTTCACAGTCACAGCTCCTGAGAATATGCTGACCAAGGCGGCTGCCCTCAGTTTCTCCATCTGTCTAGTGGAGGTTATGGTCCCCAGCTCTTGCGTGAGCCTCTCTAGGCCTTGAAGAACCCTGGGGGTCAGTAAGTGCCAGAGAATGAGAAACAAGCCACACAATTCCACGCGGGAGCTCAGTTTTGAATTTGCAAACTGCTGGGACCTCACTGTACAAGCCGGCAGGGCGCTGAGAATGTTTTTCTTCCAGTTTTTAATCAGTGCCCAGTAGTGTGAATACAGCCTCTCTGCTGAGACTTGACAATGCAGTGAGATCTGGAGTTCCCACGGCAACAGGAACTAACTCATCCCAGGGCTTTTTGAGTTATCAGTCGGCCCACATTTCACAAAGGTGATCAGCGTGGGCTCGACAGCTCTTAGAGGCCTTCTCTGAAAGCACTCCGTGTATGTACTACCTGGCAGGCCACCATCCCGCCCCCCCGCCCCGTGCCCCTTTTGGATTCAAGCCTCTGGAACATTCCTATTTGCTGAACACAATTGAATGATCTAGTTTTTTGTGCTGGCTAGGGTGTGGTATATATGGGGGTTGTCTGTAAGGGGCTTGGGGGTCTCTAGGCCAACTGGTGAGGGAGGTCATGGACGTTCAAGATCCCCAGTTCCTGCCACTTGGTTTCTGCTGGGAGGCTGAGCCCCAGACTGGGAAAAGGAGAGCATTTATCATGGGCCGGCACCATGTTAAACACCTTTATCATAACTGAGAGGAAGTGTTAACACACATTTTGTAGATGAGGAAACTGAGGCTGGGAGAGGTGAAGGTGATTTGTTTATAAACCACACAGCTGGGATGTAACTGCGCCATGGTTTGAACTGGTTTGTTTATCTCCAGAGCCTGTGCTTCTTGGACCATGCCATGCTACCTCCTTGGCAATACTTTGACTTGTCCTACTCAGTGGAAGCCTCTAAGTAGGGAGCAAACTGTCCCTATCATGTTTTGGCAAGCTTAGTTCGGGACTTAGAAGATGAATGGCAGTAAAATAATCAAACCTCAGTTGCTTATCTGAGAATTTCCAGGTGATGCCCAGTCCATCAGGGACTTTCCTGGGACTACAAGGAATTTTCTGGCATGGGTGGCCTGGGCAAGGAGAGCATCCAGTATCATGCCTTCCTTGGCAATCCTATGAGATTCGTTCCTTTATTTAATTATCAGTGTCTGTCATAGTCTCCTTCTTACCAGAGAGGCACTCCCTTGAGCTTTAGGCCGGGTAGGGGAGGAACCTTTGTACTGGCACACTGCTCCATACAGGCTTCTAGAAGTCTCAGGGTACCTTGCTCAATGCCTTTCTGATATCTAGCATCCCTTCTGCATCCTAGCCCTGGGTCTAGAGCAGTGGTCCCCAACCTTTTTGGCACCAGGGACTGGTTTTGTGTAAGACAATTTTTCTACAGACTGGGGCGGTGGTGGGGGGAAAGGATGGTTTCAGGATGATTCAAGCGCATTACATTTATTGTGCACTTTATTTCATTACTATTACATTGTAACATATAATGAAGTAATTACACAACTCAGCATAATGCAGAATCAGTGGGAGCTCTGAGCTTGTTTTCCTGCAACTAGATGGACCCATCTGGGAGTGATGGGACCACCTCAGCTCCACCTCAGATCATCAGACATTAGATTCTCATAAGGAGCGCGCAACCTAGATCCCTCGCGTGCGCAGTTCACAGTAGGGTTCGCGCTTCTGTGAGAATATAGTACTGCCGCTGATCTGACAGGAGGTGGAGCTCAAGCCATAATTCGACCAATGGGCAGCGGCTGTAAATACACATGAAGCCTCCCTCACTCACCTCCTGCTGTGTGGCCAGGTTCCTAACAGGCCATGGACTGGTACTGGTCCGTGGCCTGGGGGTTGGGGACCCCTGCTCTAGAGTGTCAAGATGGCCCAAGCCTGAGAGTCCAAGGATTAGGGAAGTCAAGGTGAAGGAGTCTCGATCTTTGTCCACAAAATCAAGCAGGGCACCAGAACATAGTCACATAAATGAGCTACCCTGTATAAGGTATTCGGCTCTGAACCTTACACACAATTGAAGCTCTAAACTGTAACTTACCGACTCTCACCTACATCACCTTTCACCTGTGTCTCGCTCCCTAAACTGCATTGATGAGCTTTCCACCAGGGTCAGTATCCACAGGAAGTTCTTTCTGGCCTTGCAGTGGGGAACCCTTCCCTCCTTGGCTGGCTCCACCCCTACCCCCACCCCAGTCAGTCTGGTCTCAGAGTGGCTAGCTCTACTCTTCTTGCATCACAGGAGTGGATAGAGGGAACAGAGTCCCTTGTTTTGACCCCTTCCTGCTTCAGTGACAGGAGGGCTGCAGAGAGGGATTAGTGAGCTAATTAGAAATGATTGTATCTCTCGGCATTAATTAGCAGTGCTGTGGGCTTGCAGCATGCACTTTGGAATTGAGCCCCCTGCGGGACAGCATGGCAGGGAGCCCTCTGCACTGATTAGAAATGATGGAACAGGTTTGGGTAGGCACAGTAAGGGCTACCCTCTCAAGGTATCTGGGCTGTCTGACTCAGATCCTCTATACCTTTATGACTGGGCCTCAGTCTCCTCTTCTGTAAAATGGGACCAGTGGACATGAGAGAAATTTCACTGGGGTAATTCTACATAGGACACTAAGGTCTGTACCTCAGGGCTCTTGGCCAGGAACAAAGGGGTTTTAACTGATAAGTTAACAGCAGGCCAGATCAGGCCCCTGGAGGGACCTTGGATTCTAACCAAGAAATGTTCTCTAAAGTTATGCTTCTTGACTCTAAAAGAGCCTGTGGTCTTGGCCTTCTGGGGAGACACATAGCAAGTGCCAAGGAGAGCATCTTTGCTCACTGGATTCATTGAGCACTGCAGGTAGGAAGGTAAGGGTTGAGCTTGAGCCAGCTGTGGCCGAAGAGTGGACACTTCACTGGCCTAGCACCAATCTCCTCCCCAGGTGCTCTTGGCAAGGTCCAGTCCCCAAAGGAGCTGAAGGTGCTGCATGATGAGGGCCAGATGAGGCACTGAACAAAAGGGCTAATGGCTGGCAGGAGGTCAGGATGTGTCAGCTCCACTGGGACCTTGGGAACTACAGTGACCGTCTGCCTGTTCTATGCTTTGTTTTCGGTTTCTCCATGCAGCTCGGATTGGGAAAATGAAACGGAGGAAGCAAGATGAAGGGCAGGTATGTCCCCTGTGCAGCCGCCCCCTGGCAGGATCGGAGCAGGAGATGAGTAGGCATGTGGAGCATTGCCTTTCTAAGGTAGAGGGGCCATCACCACCTCCTTCCCCTCCCCTCCTTCCCCTGACACTAGCTGCTCACTGCCTCCAGATCTATGGGCTGTTGGGGTCTCTCTGTGGTCTCAGCAGCTTCTTACTCTCTGTTCTTTGCTCTCTTCCTTTGCTTTCGCTCTCCCACTCCTCCCCTGGGGCTCCAGTGGAAAACTATTGGGGAAAAGCCCAGGTCTTTGACCTCTAGATTGGTTTACTTCAAAGGAGCCCTAGAGCTGGGGGCCTGTGGGGCACACTGCAGCTCGGGGCTAGGGCTGTGCCTTCCTTGCAGGCCCTGGGGAGCAGGTAGGGACGGCCTGGGACCCACATGATCCTGCTCTGCTCTTCACAGAGGGAAGGCTCCTGCATGGCTGAGGATGATGCCGTGGACATCGAGCATGAGAACAGCAACCGCTTCGAGGAGTATGAGTGGTGCGGGCAGAAGCGGATACGGGCCACCACTCTCCTGGAAGGTGGTTTCCGAGGTACAAGCAGCTGACACATAGGCAGTGGCACTCGGGCGGCCAGGCCTCTGCTGGGTATCCATTTGTTGGGAGCCAAGAGGCCAGGGCTGGTGGCTGGTCATTCCACCACGTGCGAGCTGCTGCTGGTGGGGCTCCTTTGTGACCGTGCTGCCTGCCTGTGATGTGCATATTAAAATGGATGTATTTGGGTGGGGAAATGGAACTGTGAGGCTGTAGGCTAGGAGTGACGAGGGGGTCTCTCAGCCTCGGGTGATGCATTGAAGGTGACAGCCAAGCCACGTTAGCACCTGCATAAAATATTAAAGGGACGGTTATGCATTTATCACTCCATCCCTCTTAAGGCTGATAAATGAGAATCCAGCAACCTGCTGTACACCTCCAGCACTGGGGGCCCCGAGGGCTTCCAGGCAAACACATTGGATTCCCCCCCCCCCCCCCCCCCCCCCCCCCTCCCCCCCCCCCGCCCCTCCTCCTCAGCCCCATGTCAGGGAAATCAGTTACAGAGGAGAGAGTGAGTTATGGCAAAATTTGACCTCCCATGAGCTTCACGGGTGAATCTAATTTTAGCTCTGATCCCATCTCTTCTCCCTGGGCACCCTCTGCCCTGAAGCAAGAGGGGCCTGTGCCCAGCTGCTCCCTGCTTCCCTGGGACTCTCCCCCACTGCTGCAGAGAACTCTGCAGGACCCTGCCCAGCCCCACTACCTACTTGGCTCCTTGGAGAGATATAGCTTGGCCCAGTGGAAGTCCCCCACCCCCACCAGGTCAAATAGCAGACTGGTAGGTGCCCAGGGTCGGTATCCTCTTGTCAAAGCCTTCTGCCTTGGGCAGGGCAAAGGGGGAGCTGTCAGCCTCCAGCTCTTCTCTCTTTCTGTGCACAGGCACAGCTGGCACTGCAGCTTGTGGTCATGAAGTGATCCAGTCTGCTTCCCATCTGCCTCCAGTTCTCTGGGCAACACCCTTGGGAGTATTGCTGTGTCTGGTCCCTGGGGAATCTCACAGCAGCTGGGAGGAGGGTCTCTGCCTCACTGGGGCAGTGCTTCTCGGGCTGGTGCTGAGGATCGGTCCCCACAGTGCCATCCAGGGCAGACTGGCTACATGAAGGGGCCACGAGCCCAGGTGTGGCGTTATGCTTCTGGGCTTCTCTCATATTGCCCGAGCGTTTGGGGACAAGCCAAAGTGTAAATCAGGAAGGTTAATCAGGCCAAACCATTTCCCGAGCTTGAGCGCTGAGCTGGGAGGATGTCCGTTTGCCGTTTCACTCTGGTCCTATCCTGGAGTTTCCGAGTGTCTGAGGCCCAGGGAAGATGAGCAGCAAAGCCCAGGGTCCAGTGACTTGTACACACAGGTGTCTGTTCAGGGGCAGTTCCAGGATTCTGCTCTGGGTTCGCTCTGTTGTGGCTGCAGATTTTCATATCTTCCATTACTGCGGCAAGTTTTTAGTCAGGTTTCTTGGCACAGAACTGGACCTGGTGGCTTCTGGGCACCAAACAGGGCTTAGGAGGATGAAGCTGCATGGGGCCTGCTGCTACAACCAAGTATTTCCCAGGTGCTGGGACGCACTTGCAGAGCGGGTGTGAGGGGCTCTTCAGCCCTATGGGGGGGTGTCAGTTTTCCCTGAGTGTTTACACTGTGAGGTTGTTCTTTTCAAGAATTCCTGAGAGGAGTTCAAAGGGGGCTTTTCTTTGAGCGATTTGGAGAGCGAGAATGAGAGTGAGACTTGAAGAGGGAACGGGGGCCGGAGGTGCCTTTATCTGCAGAGAATTGCTCCGGCTTTCCTGATAGAAGCTGCTGCCGCCTCTTAAACAGCTTAGTGCAGTCAAAAGACAGGCAGACTTGAAAGGCTGTTTTACAGCGAGATCAGCAGGGGCCACGAGGCAGAGAGCAGGGCGCAGTGGAGCGGAGGAGGCTGAGGCTCCTCGGTGGGGGGTGCTATCAAAGGAGGCCCTGTCTGATCCTGACCGCCTCTGCCCCCGAAACCCTGTCTGCAGGAGCTGGCCATCTGTCAGTCTACCCTCCTTGGCCAGGACCGATAGGCCCCAACTCTTGGGGGGTTTGGTTGGGTGTGGCCCCGCCAGGCGGGCTGGTGTCAGTGTAGCGCATTGATCGCCCGCCGGGCGGGCTGGGCCGCAAGCCGGGCAGCGCGTGCTTAATGTGATTGAAAGGCAGTTAAAATGGCGGTGACCTTTTCAGGAGGAATTAGATTGCCTGCCAAGACCGGTTAGAGGGAGTGATAACGCTGGCTGAAGAAGCTGCCCAGCCAACTTCAGAGAGAGGGAGCAGAGGCAGGATGAGCAGGCGAGTGGTGAGGCCCATTTAAGCCAAGCTGTGCATGCTGACAGAACAGAGATTGCTGTTCTTGTTGGATATGAAAGAATTGCAGATAAGTTCCTGTATCTGATCACCCCCTATCCCTCCTTCCGGACCAGGACCCCTTCATCATCCTCAGCAAAGCTTCCCACCAGGCCCACTGGGAGCTGGTCTGGTGGAGCAAATCGGTTTCCTTGAATGTATTCTGCCGTGGAACCAGTGAACAAGCAAGAGGTTTTGGTGGGACACTTGGCTGAGGGGAATGGGCCTTGGAGATGGGGCCTGTGGTTACTGAGGGTGAGGCCCAGATTGCTTAGGCCTGGGAGTACTTGGAATTGGTATTTTAGGACAAAGCGAAGGACCAGACAGAACAGGTAAGCACTGAGATAGGTCCAGCTGGAAGTGGATCTTTAAGAATCTGAAGGACGAGAGAAAGTTTTTAAGAGAGTAGTTTGGAAGAAACTTTCAGTGACTAGGAAACGCTCTGGCCTTCTCAGTTCTCGGAGACGCCCTGGGCTGCGTGCCTAAGCTGTCGATTGTCCTCTCTGAACCTTAGGTTTGCTAACCTGCTACTGCTGTTTCTCCCCACCCAGAGTTAATAATTGCATAAAGGGCAGCACGTGGACCCTAGTATTTCACCAACATTCCCCTAAAAGAGCTCAACAGTTAGGGAAGAAAGATGCTCTTCTGGTGCCCTGTGCCAGCCCTGGGCAGAGCAAGGGACCTCTAGGCTGGGCCACAGCGGACACCTAATTATACAGCCCTTGGGGACAAACCCGCTCCTGCCTGTAGTCAACGGAGGTACGTGATGAATGAGCCCCAGCTCTCCTCATTGCCTGTCACCAGCTCCTGGGTCCCGGAGAAGAGACTAGTGGTGGGAGCTTTGGTCCCTCCTGTTTTGGTTGCCAGTGAAAGTTCACCCAGCTGGATTGGGGGAGCCTGGAGCTCATCATATCTGGAATGGACAGGCTGGACAGAGAATATGGAATGGTTGGCTTCAGATAAGGTCACAGTGATGTGGTGGGCACATGAGTGGCGAGATGGAGGGATTTCCCAGGAGGCAGCACAGGAAGTGGAAGGTGCTGCAACTCCATCTTTGAGCCCTGGAGGAAAATGCATCCCTGGAATCCAGCACTGAGCCCCTTTGAATCAAACAGGTGTTGGACAGGGATGATACTAAGAGAACCCACTGTCCAGGGCCTCTGCCCTGCCCCAATCCTGGCCTAGGGACTGCATCTTTCTCGAGTTCTTGCCTTAGATTTAAGCTGGTTCCATGTGGCCTGGGATGAGATGCCATGGAGAGGACAGGCAGGGCAGCTGTGGCACAGGTCTTTTAACTGGCTGTTGCTTGATAAAACTTCAGCTCCAGATTATGGGTCAAGGGGTTGAGAGGTGTTCTTAGCCCAGGGGCATGGAGAAATTGGCCTGGCCGTAGCTGCTGCCTCCTTTGCTGTGTTGGTTTCCAAAAGATAGGAGCCCCAGATGCTAAAAATGTCCCCCAGCACAGCCCTGCTGCCAGGTGCAGTCAGTGACAGGTGTTGGAACAGCCGACTGCTGCAGGCAGTGTTGGAATGGAGAGCGTTAGGGCTGCCACCTTCTACCTCCTTACTACCTTTAGTTATGACTGTTGCCTGCTGGGAGGGGCGAGAAGAGGTGGCAAGGAGCAGGGCACCTTCTTGTCCCCTGTGGCGACTGACGGGATTTAATCGCGTTTTGGAACACAATTGTTAAGCTGGGACCGGGGGAGTACAGGCAGAAGGAGTAAGTATCAGTGGTTTTAAACGGCGTCTGTCTCTCTGCGTCTCTCCTGACGTGAGGCAGTGAAACACGTTATCGAGGAGGCCCGGAAAGTGGCTAAGTGCGTTTGACACACGCCAACTCCCTGCCTCCACACTGGATAATTGCATTGTCAACTGTTCAGCGAGGTGGCAGGTGACACTGCAGGCCGATTGATTGTCCCGCATCGCAGCTCCCCAGACTGTCAGCTCCCCAATCGATGGCATTTACACAAGACACCGTAACTGCATCTGTAACTAATTCCAGTGTAAAACTCTCCGGAAGCTGCTGCTCTGCACCACCACCCCCAAACCACACCTTTGGAGAGCACACGCCTCCAGAGGCCCCAGGACTCCTTTCTCCCTGGGCTCTGGTTTTGTTGGGAGCAGCAGGTGAGGAAATCAATGGCTCCATTTTTGTGGTTTCATGTTCTACGACGTTACTGCCCCCAGTAAGCGGGCATCTCCAGTTTCTCAATCGATTATCTGATCAGTTGATCAAATTAATGCTGATTTTTTTCTCTCTCTCTCTTTGACCTAAGAAAAAAGGAGTTTATGCGAGGGGGGTCGTTTTTATAAAATTTAGGCTTTGCTTATTATATATGCACTTAACCCTCTCCCTTTCTATTGCTAGTGTCCAGTTGGAGGGAAGAGGTTTTTTGCACCGCCTGTCCTCCCAGGACCAGGCCCCCACTGCTGAGCATCACTGACTCTCAGGCTTAGTCTGCCTGTGGGCAGCAGCCCAGCCCTTTGTGCCACAATACAGTGGGGCTGAGCCTCAGCAAGGCGGCCTCCCTGGTAACTAAAGGGTACTCTGGGTCATCTTGCAGGTCCCAGGGGCAGAGTCCCTTCCCTGGATAGTAGCATCAGGAGTGGCAGCTTGCCTGTTATCCCTGGAGCTACACAGAACAGGAGCCAGAGGCTTGGAAAGGAGTACTCTGCGCCATCTTGCCTCTGAGTACTGGCTTGGGATGTTCCAGCAGCTGAGAACATAAAATGACTGTGGAGCCTTCTTCTCGAAGCAGGGTGGGGGGCGCAAGCTGGCAGGGGCGCTGTCTGCATAAAATGGCTTTATGGCTGTTTCTTTTTATTATGATTCTGCCAGAAGTCAGCAAGTGACATTTCATTAAGAAAATAAAGTTTAATGTGCTGGGAAGGAGGTTGGAGCTGGCTGGGGCAGCACAAGAGTGAAATTGGTGGCGGCAGCCTGTTCTGAACACCTGTGGGGGTAGGGAGAGGTTCCCAACATCTGTCTTTGCTGGGGGGTGGGGTCAGGGTCAGAGGAAGCTGCTCAGACCAGAGACAGGCCTTTTCCTTGGCAAACAAGATGTGTTGTGCTCTCCATCCTGCCGGGCTGGTCAAGGGAGCAGAAGGTCGCGGCTCACCCGAGAGCTGGGGTCTGAGAGGGAGGGTTGTGGCCTGAGAGGTTTCTCCAGGCCACCGGCTAATCAGGCCTTGGCCTTCCTTCCGGCACAGGGCTCCCAGGACCTAATAGAACAGCATTGTTGGCATTAAGCCATTACTGCTTGCGTGTGTTGTATGGCACCCACTGTGGGCCTGGCCAGCTCTGTGCTGGATGACGCTGAGATCACAGACTTGGGCCTTCATTCTGGTAAGGGACAGTGACAATACATGGTAATAAATGTGACTTTGGAGTTGCACAGGAGCCTGGATGGACGCCGCAGAAGGGACCCCTGTGTAGAAATGTCTGGGGACATCTCGTCCACACTCAGCACCTTGAGGGTAGGAATCAGATCTGGAAACACTGTCATCAGTGTCAAACCAGGCAGAGGGTGAGTTCGATAAAGGTTGAGAGAATGTTGAGGTGAGTTCATTCAGGAAGTATTTATAGAGCAACTACCATGTGTAGGCACTATGAATAGAAGGCATGATTGAGAAGAGTCAGGCTCGCAGAGCGAGCAGGAATTTGTTCTGTAGACCAAGAGGGAGATGTTTCTAGGCAGAGATAACAGGAAGTACAAAGGCAGGGGGGGCATGAGAAAACATGCACACAATAGCTATGTTCCACTGGAGTACAAGACCTGGTCCAGGCCTGGTAGGCGATGAGACTGCAGAGATGAGGACTTCGGCCACTGGGCTGCTTTACGTGTTGAGAAGCTAGGACTTTTCCTAGCAGTTTGGCGGTGCCCAGTTTTCTCAGCTTTGCCATGGGAGCCATACTGGGCTGAGGAGTGGTGCCAGGATTCTCAGCTTTGCTGCTCGCCCACCCAAAAGGCAGGGCCGGGCAGGCCCTGGCTAAGCCAAGGATGTGAGGCTGACTGCTGAGCTGCGTGTACTTGGGGGAGGGAGGTTGGCAGAGCTCGGGAGGTGCAGGCTGTAAGTGAACCTGACGGCTACATTGTGATTGATGGCGGAGTTTGTCTCCCAAACTGTCAGAGGGTTTATAGAGGTGCCATTCACCCACAAGGCGGGAATTGCTTGTCAGGACACTTGGCCGTGAACAGTAGACAGAGCTGTAACTTGGTGTTTTCTCAGCTTAATGGCCCTGCTGCTGACCTGCCTGCTGCCTCGAGTTTGTTGGTGCCTCATTGTGGAGGGCAGATGAGGACTGGCAGGGAGGGGTGGAGCCTGGGCAGTGCCTGGCCTCTCTCTTTCCCTGGTGCTGCTTCCCTTTGGGTTGGGTGGAACCTTTGTGAGACCAGAGACCAGAGGTGTAGGAGGGAGAAGAAGGATCAGGAAGAAAGTGCTTTCGAAATGGGCTTGAAAGGTGGAGAACATTCCAGATGGAGGGGAGAGCATGAGCAGGACATGGTGACGTTTGAGGTGCAGTAAGTAGTCTATCCGTATATGTGGAGCTTATGGAGTGAAGTGAGAGAAAGAGGGAAGGTGGAGAAGTGGGGGCATCCGGAGCTTAGCGTGTCTAACTGAGGAGCTGGGACTTGGTCGTGTATGCAGAGGGGAGCTGCAGACACTGCTGGAGCAGGGAAAAGAAGGGTCAGAGCTCTAAGGAACAGGGTGAAGGAACAGGCGAGAGGCATGACAACCCGGTACATGTCTGTTGCCCTGATGAGCATGTTAAGACCCTGGAAGTGGGAAGAATGAACAAGAAATTTCTGAGATCATCGGGCAGAACCCTGAGCTGCTTCACACCTCTGATTCCACTCAACCCGGATCCCATTGCTTTCAGCCCCTTTTGTCCCTGGCAGGGCTGTTCCACTGGCTCATGAGATGTGGTCTGAGATGGGGACCACTGGGAGAAGACATGGGCAGGGAGGGAGAAGTAGCTTTGTGGTCACTGGCCCTGGGCCACCAGGAAGGGTGGTCCTGGGAGTCAGACCACATGGCAGGTGAGCGGGCCTGGAGTAGCTTAAGCAACTCAGCGCCTTACATCACCACCGCCGCCCCTGGCCGAGAGTGCCTGTGGCTGTGCCAGATGCTCCTCGGTGAGGTCAGCTACCTGCCCGGCTCTTGGCCCTGCCTCCGCCCACCTGCTTGCCTCCATGGACTGCTTTGAGAAGCAGGTGTGCATGCTTTTTCTCCCTCGGCCATCCCTTCTTAATCCCTCTATAACTGCACTTGTCCAGGAATCTGGGCTGAGTGAGGTTGGGATGAATAATTAATGTCAGGCACTTCAGACACCAAATATTTGAACAGCTGCCTGGTGTTTTTGCTGGCGAGGACCTGATGGCCAAAACCAGGACGTTGGCTGGGGGTCCCGCTGTATGGCTCTGACAGGCCTTTGCCAGCCTACTCTCCCTTCTGGTAGACTTGTCAGGCTGGACCATGGGACACGGGATGCCCAGGTCCTGGGTGGGGGTGGCCTTGTAGACCTGAATGTCTCTGTCTTCTTCCTGCTCTTCTTAGACCTGGAAGACAGGTGTTCAGCAGGCCTAGACTAGATGTCTCCTGAGGACCTGACCTAGTGTATGAATGGGCTAGTTTATAAGCAGAGACCACTTGGAGCAGGAGGCAGTGCAGAGAAGGCTGAGGTATGCAGAGTGAAAAGGCCTGAAATGTCAGAGTCACGAGCACCCAAGTTTCTTGGCTCTCTATATCCCAAGCCCACGTTTCTGTTTGGCCTTGCCTAGCCCAAAACCTGAGCCGTACCTAGGGAAACAGAAGGGGTACCCTTGGACTCGTCTTGCTGGCCCCAGGCCCTCCTCATATCCTGCTTCCCACAGGCTCTGGCTTCGTCATGTGCAGCGGCAAAGAGAATCCGGACAGTGATGCTGACTTGGATGTGGATGGGGATGACACTCTGGAGTATGGGAAACCACAGTATCCTTGGGGCACTGCGGGACAAGGTGGGGCTGGTGGGACAGTCCAAAGGGAATAAGAAAAGTAGCGAGCACCTCCGGTCACTCATCCACACCCCCCCCCAGGGTCAGTGTCTCAGCTTGGGCCGGGGGAGCCCTCCTGAGGATTCAACCCTCATGGCCCACCGCAAACTAGGATCCATTGTCCTTGACCACCGTGCCAGATACACGGAGGCCGACGTCATCCCCTGCACAGGCGAGGAGCCCGGTGAAGCCAAGGAGAGAGAGGCACTCCGGGGCGCAGTCCTAAAGCAAGTGTGGGCACAGGCTTGGGTGGGGGGGTTAGAGGGATGGGAAGCCCTGAGGTGGGTGTCAACCCAGTACCCGCCCTCAGGGTTATCCTGCCTGCTTCAGGGCCCACTTCGTTCTTCCTCCTTCCTTTCCTCTAGTGGTGGCCCTCCCAGCACACGCATCACACCTGAGTTCTCTAAATGGGCCAGTGACGGTAAGTCCTGACGCAGGTTAGGAGTGATGGGGGGTGGTAGTGACTGCCTTAAGCCCAACCCCTCACCTGTGCTGCCCAGTCTGGCCAGAGTGTGAGTTGCCTCTCTGTCCCAGCAGAGATGCCATCTACCAGCAACGGTGAGAGCAGCAAGCAGGAGGCCATGCAGAAGACCTGCAAGAACAGTGACATCGAGAAGTGAGTGTTTGGCCAGGAGGGAGGCCTGGGGAACCACAGCTCAGTTGGAGGGCGAGGGGCCCTTTGCTACCAGGAAGGCTTGGTGCCCTGGGCACACAGCCGACGGTGGGGCCCAGCTGGTGCTGAGCATGCCTCTGTGAATTGATCGCTGGGCCCAGGCCCTGGGAGCCTTGGTGGAGGGAGGAGCAGTCAGCCTGCCTGCCTGCCCGCCCGCTGCAGAGGCCTCCACCCAGGGAGTGTGATGTATGGCTGCCCAGCCCAGCCAGCACACTTGATTCATCTCCAGTTTCTGTTTCTTAATCGGGAGCTAAATTGGTTTCATTTTTCTTGTCCCGGTGGCGCTTGCAGTGGGTTTTAGGCAGGAGTATTGGGTCTCATCACTTCTGGTAGGAATTTTTGGCCGGTGTTCTCAGGCAGGGGAAAAGGGGATCCGTTAGCACTTCTCCCAGGGTTGGGCAACCCCTGGCCTGGATCCTCAGGAGCCACCAGGATTTGAAATCAGCAGGGCACCTTACTGCCTTTCCAGAAGCCCAGGCAAGGCCAGTTCTGGCCCCAGGAGGTGGCATTGTCCAGTTCTGGCTGCCTGGAGCTGCTGCCATTGGCCATTGCCTAACTCCTCACACCCGCCCCTCCCTCCTCTCGAGGCTAGGTTGCCCAGGGTTAAAAGGCAACCTCTTCATTCCAGGGCCAGTGTTCCATCTTGCCTTCTGCCAGGAGAGTGGATTGCAGGCCGGTGCAGGGCCGGGTCGGTGGCCCAGGGTCACCTCCCATTTGTTTCCCTCCATTTTGTGTTGTCATAAATTCATTCCAGCCCGTTGTGGTTGATCAGTTTATCTCGGCCAGGGCCGTGAGTGCTGCTGGCATGATGTATGGGCCGCAGCGTGGGGCCCAGCTGCCCATGAATCACCGCAGCTGCTCCATGTCAGCGCCGGAGCGGGCCGCACGGGTTCGGCGCAACCAGCTTGAGGTGGGGGGGAGGAATGACGTATGGATGTTTATTTAATAATTCTCTCCTACTCCAGCTGAGCAGGGCGGGCGGGGCCGTAAGGGGCACCTACCCTCATCTGGAGGGGCTGCTCATAAATCAGAAAGACAAGATCATTAATCAGGGATGGCGCCCAGGGGGAGGTGGGGGCCAGAACCAGTGGCCATCCATGAAGGTCCTACCCGCTGAGGGCTGGGGGAGCTGGGGACTGTCCCACCTGTGTGAGCACAGGCACCAGTGGGCAGGGCTGTCTGGGATGAGCTGGGGACTGGCTTAGTCATGTGCAGAGATCTCCATTGGGTCTGGATTTGCCAAGATTAGGGCCCTTCAGTCCCCATGATGTCTCTCTTCCCCGTACACATTATGGGTTCCCATCCTAGATCTTTTTCACAACCTAGGGGAGGAGAAAGGCAGGAAGACATGGCTTCTTCCAAGAAATTCTCCACCCCATACCCTAGAGGGGCTCAGGAATAGCTCACAACCTACCTGGGTCAGGGGCCTGGAGGACTGGGTAGTTCACCAGAGCAAAGAATAGAGGCCAGTTATGTGCCGAGCAAATCCAAGATAGGGCGGGCTCTGGAATTGGATGTGGCCTTGGAGCCTTTGGAGATGGAAGTGGGAAATGGCTTCATTCTCTCCTGGCCCCATCCTTTTTGCCTTCCCAGCTCTAACTCATTCTCTGGTTTGGGGTTTGACAGTTAGTTTTCTACTCGGGTAGGCTGCCCCCAGCTCCAGGCCTTGGTTTCCCAATCTTTGAAATAACCTCATAGGATCAGCCTGGTCCTTGGAGAGGAAGGGAACACAGCTACCCATCCTTGTCTCCTTGTCAGGAACTTACCAACAGTCCAGGTGGGGATGGCACACAGAGCATTGGGCAAAGTGCCTGGGGGAGGAGCCAGCCGTGCAAGTGCTTGTGAGGAAGGAGGGGATGGTAAAAGCTTTCCAGAGCTGGAAAGTTGAATGGATGCTCCCAGGAAATCCGCCAATGCCAGGAGGAGTTGTAGTCAGAGCCTTTCTCAGCTTCCCTGGAGAGAGGCAAGGCAGAAAGCATCATGGACCCATGGAGTGATGGATCTAGAGCATCCCTGACATAGGGACACAGCCATCAGGAAGTCACATTCTGGGTTGCTGCTAGTGCCCTAAAAGAGAAAGGTCAGAGATCAAAGTTCATTGCTGCCCATGAAATGTTTCCCATCATCCTACCCATGCCCCCCCATTACCACTTACACCCAGCAGGGACAGACTACCTGTAAGCTTTCAGGCTTTCTGGGCCAACTCTCTCCCCTAAGCTGGCAAGACAGGCCACCCTAGGAGATGGTCCTTGCCCACACACCACCCTTGTGATTCTACCTCAGCTGATTGAATACACCCTTTAAACCTCAGCTCTTACCCTTTACAGCCCTCTTCCAACATTCTCAACAACTTCCTGTAAATTGCCAGTAAGATAAACTTTCCTCTCTGATTGCGGCATCTGGGGTCTTCTTGGACACAGTCTCCTTTCCCAGTGTAGCACCTTCTGCTTACTCAGAAGTGAGCCTTCCAGCCAGATGGGGCTCTAGGGCCTCTAGGCCTTGTTCCCACTGTTCCCTCAGCCTGGAGGCCTGTCTCCTCCTGGGTGTAGCCAGTGTAGGGTAGCGGTTACTTACACAGTTACTGGTTGATCACAGAATCAGTCTGCCAGGGTTTGAATCCCATCTTCCCCACTCTGTGAACCTTGGACAGGCTACTTTTTCTGTGCTTAGTTTCTTCATATATAAAATAGGAGTATTAGGATCTCATCATGGGGGTTTTGTGAGGTGTAAATAAGATAATTACTTTTAATCCCTCAGTACAATCCCTGGCATTTAGTAAGTGCTTAATAAATTTTGGCTCTTTTATTTGTATTATTGTCCTTATTATTCCCTAAAGCCTGTCTCCAGTGCCATCTTTTCTACTCCTCCAGGAAGCATTCTTCATCCTCTGAGCCTCTCCAGGTTCTGTTGACTTGTTTTAGGAGAGGTGGGAGGGATCACTCTTTAGAATAGTCCTAGCTATTCCCTGTTCAGTATTGCAGCTCAGAGAGTCTTCAGGAAGTTGTAGGGACCTTGTGCAGGGCTTGGACTACGGGTGAGGACCAACAGGACATCTGACATGTCTAGGAAGAAGCAACCAGGAGCCTTTGAGATAGGCTAGGACTGTAGCCCAGGGGCCTCATCAGTCCCCACATTTTTCACTCTCCCTGGGGGTTAGACCAGCTGTTTCTTCAGCAGATGTTTATTCATAGTCACGTGCCTAGTATGGGGCTAATGTTCAGAGTGTAGTGGTGTAGTGAGCAGCTTGCCCTCTGGGAAGTGAGTCTAGCAGTGACGGACATTTGTGGTTATACTGCTGTGGTGAAGTCCAGTACAGGGGCTGGAAGAGCACAGAAGGGGCAGCCACCATTGGGGTACTGGCTGGGGGCTTGGAAAAGGCTTCTGGGAGGAGGTGGGAACTGGGCCTGAATGATGAGATGGGACTAGTGAGTTAGGAGGTGGGGGTGATCCAGAAGCAGCAGAAAGTGCTGAGAGGCCAGTAGAGTGAAAAATGGTGGGGTGTGTGGGGAAACTCAGGAGTTTGGCATGGATGGAGCATAAAGTACGTGGCAGGGCCCTTGAGGGATGCGGCTGGCGGGGACCGGCCCGAGGAGGCCCTTGTGAGCTTGTGGAGAGTTTGGTGGAGCTTTATTCTGAGGTAGACACTAAAACGTTAGAAGTAGAAGTGGTCAGGTTTGCAGAATTGTGGGTGCCAGGAGAACAGAATGGAATGAGGGGACTGGGGTCTGAGAGGCCATTCAGGTTGATGGCACAATCCACAGAGGAAATCATGAGCACCTGGACTAGGGGTGGTAGCTATGGAAAGAAATGGAGATGCCAGAGATACTAGGAGCTAGATGACAGATTTTGGATGTGAGGAGTGACTGGGAAGACGTGGTTTGAGAATGGTTCCCAGGTGTCCGGTTTAGAAATTCACCAGGACGGAGGTAGAGGAGCAAGGAGAGGGTGAGGAGTGCAGTTCTGGAATGTGGAGTGTGCGGATCGAGGATATGGGTGGGGCGTCTAGCAGACAGCTATATATGCGATTCTGGAATTCAGGGGAGCTGTAGGCTGGAGGTTCAGGTTAGGGATGCCAGCCTGCTGCCTGCCCAGGTATGCCATCCTCTTTGCAGAATCACCGAAGATTCAGCTGTGACCACGTTTGAGGCCCTGAAGGCTCGGGTCAGGGAACTGGAGCGGCAGCTATCCCGTGGGGACCGTTACAAATGCCTCATCTGCATGGTGAGAGGAAGGGAACCTCGGGCGCCCTTGCTGAGGCTTCAGTGCTCCCTGGGGGTTGGAGAGGGTCTCTGCCCTGTGATCTGGGCCCTTCAGAGGGTGGGACAGCCTCAGAGTGACCCCTTCCTTCTCTGCCCATTTTCTCCCTAGGACTCATACTCGATGCCCCTAACGTCCATCCAGTGTTGGCATGTGCACTGTGAAGAGTGCTGGCTGCGGACCCTGGTGAAGTGGCATGGGGGTCGGGAGTGGGTGGCCATTTGGGGTACTGCCCAGATGTCCATGCTTGTGCTTGAGCCTGCTTCGGGGGAGGAGGAGCGAGGAGCAGGGGAGCAGAAGCATAGACCACAGCCCGAAGCCAGGATGTTCACCCCCAAGCTCACTACCCTCTCTCCTCCCCGACCCCAGGTTTATTAACTTCTCCCCACCGGTGGGTTCTCTTGCCTGCTCCCTTCCCCCATCCCCCCACCCCAGCAGGCCCACGTATGACGCATAGCAGTGAGATCCCGGGTCAGGAGGAGGCTGGGTGTGGGTAAGCAGGACCAGGGCCTCAGCCCCTCCCCCTCCCATTACTAAGCTCCTTCTGCTCCTGCCCCTGTTCTTCGCTCGGGAGCAGCCATTAAAATGTCGCCCGGAGACAGCAATAAAAGGCCCGGACGTGGGCTCTGTGTCCTGATCAAAGGCCGCGTGTAATCTCGTTAGGGCCGCGGCAGCCACAGCTGGACCCAGCCTTGTTCTCATTACTGGGGCTCCCGCTGCGGGCCTGGCCAGCCGGTTTGATCCTGGCGTCTCCCCAACACAGGAACGTGCCTGCCTGCTCACAGAAGCCGCGCATGCCTCCCCAGCGCAGGCGGGCAGGACCAATCCGAGGCCCCAGCACAGTGGTTCGGGGAGATGCAGCTGCAGGCCCAGGGGCTCACACGAGCAAATGTGCGGCACAGGGTATAACCAGAGCCCTCCCTGTTCTCCCTGCAGGGTGCCAAGAAGCTCTGCCCTCAGTGCAACACCATCACAGCGCCCGGAGACCTGCGGAGAATCTACTTGTGAGCTAGCCACCCCAGGCAGGCCTTGCCTCGAGTGCCCCATCTGCCCCGCCTGTGACGTGACCCCCCCTTGTACATACTTACACACAGGTTCCCCGTGTACATACATGCACACACGAATGCGCACACACATGCACACACACAGGACTCGAGCCAGAGTGGAGGCTGAGGCCCAGGCCCTGCCTGCTGGCTCCCACCAAGACTGGGGACCATACCTGTTCCAGGTTCCGTTCCCAGGGTGGGGCAGGGAGGTGGGGGTAGGGGGAGTAGCCAGGCAAGGCTCCTGAGATCCAGCACCCCCCCCCACACCGACTGACAGATGGACAGACAGACATGCAAACACCAGACTGAAGCACATGTAATATAGACCGTGTATGTTTACAATGTTGTGTATAAATGGGACAGCTCCTCACCCTCTATCCCGTCCCCTGCCCTTTGGTTGTATGATTTTCTTCTTTTGTTAAGAACACCTGGAAGCAGTGCCTCTTTCAGGGCTGGCTGGGGGCTCGGCCCATCCACCTCTTGGGGTGCCTGCCTCTCCCTCCCCACTCCCTCTCCCGTGGTTCTCTTCCCTCTCCCGTGTGCTCGGTGTTCAGTGGTGTATATTTCTTCTCCCAGACGTGGGGCACGTGCCCCAAGGGACATGATCCTCTCCTTAGTCTTAGCTCCTGGGGCTCCTCATAAGGAGTTGGGGGAGGGGGGAGGCACAGGAAATGGGAACCGAGCTGAAGCAGGGGCTGAGACTGGGGCTGGATGAGGGTGCTCCTGGCTACCCAGCCTTCTGCAGAGAACCTTTCCTGGGATTAGACTGCTGTTCCCAGGGAAAAGTGTTTGTCTCCCCTGCCCTTCTTGTGGGCCCCATGGTGTGATGCTGTGTTTGTATATTCTATACAAAGGTACTTGTCCTTTCCCTTTGTAAACTACATTTGACATGGATTAAACCAGTATAAACAGCTGCTGCCTCTGTGCATGTGTATAGGAAGGGGTGGATGATGGGGTGGTATGAACAGAGCCAGTTAAGGGGTTAATTCCTGGCCGCAGTGCGGGAAAGGACTTGGCTACGGGTTTGTAAAGCAGTGTGGGGTTGGTCTGCTCAGGGGCCCTGGAGCACTGTCGGTGGGGGTGAGGCCAGGACCTGGACTCCTGACTATTGATGGGTAGGGGCTCCAGGTTAATTCCTTATCGATGCAGAATCGTCAGCTCGTTAATCACAGAAGAGGTCAGAGCTTGGGGCTACAGAGGGGTTGCAGGCTCTATCCCCCAGTCTAGGGCTGGAACAGCTATAAGCTTGGGTGAAAACGTAAGCCCCAAACCTCTGTCCGTTTCTAGTCCCTTGAAGTGAGCCAGGGACCAAAAATGGAACCACCATCTCAGTCCCCTGTGGCTTCTTCTGTTCTCCATCCTAGTGACCAACAGCCTGGTATAGTTAACTGCCCAGATGAAACAAACAGTAGGAACCCCCTTTAACCAAAGTGGGCCTTTAAGTCAGGGAACTGAGGCTGGGCAGCCAGCACTGGAGATGGAGCTTTGTCAAACAGTTATCCCCATGGCTGCCCAGTGCCAGTGAGTGAGCAGCATTCTGGGTACTTGGGCAGGGGCTCAGAGCTGCAGATGAGTCCTTGTCCCCCACACACAGAAAGCTGTTTTGACAAAACAAGATTCTGCTAAAATTCAAGACCTCAGAGTATCTTTATGACTCCAGACTCCTCTCCTTCACACATTCTCACACAGCAGGCCCACCCTCCATCTTCCCAAATCTGACACACCTGTCTCCTCTGGGCTGCCCACAGTAAATATTATAGAATCAGGTCCAGTTGGCAGCTCCTGTCCCTCTCTGCACCCAGATGACAAATCATCCTGGTTGGAGTCCAGCGAAGGCCCTTCACAGGCCCAGGCCCAGCTTGATGACACCAAATATTCTGAAAGCAAGGATCCTGGGCCCCAAGATTTTAGGGAATGTATGTGGCCCGTTGAGGCGGAGCAGCCGCAGTGACAGCTGAGGGTTTGGAACAGAAATGGGCAATGCCCAGCCCCCCAGGCTGGCTCCTTTCGGCTCTCTACTCTCCCCTCTGCCTGCCCTGGACTCACGTCAGTGGGTGCTTGATGGCTGGTTACTTCCACCCTGGGGACCATATGCTAACAGGAGACGTTAACCCAGAGTGAGGGCATGAAACCCGCCCTGCTGTGGGATCCCTGAGCACTGTCGCGTGCAGCACTGCCACCTGTTGGCCATGGCTAGGAATGCAACCATGCAGGCATAGGAACTGGCTGCCACAGTAGTGGGGGAGTCCCAGAGGGCTGAGGCGATGTAGGGAGAGCTTGGCTTGGAGCTTGGAGACAGAGCTTGGAGACAGAGGGTCCATCAGCCCTGAGACTATCTATCAGGGGTCAGCTCCCACCCAGAGCTTTTCCAGCCATCTCCTTCGCTGCAGGTCAAACTTTCAAAGTCCATCCCTGCCCCCCAAGTCCCTCGATCACCACAGTAAGCTCATTAAATCAACAAAAATTTATTGAATGCCAGCTATGTGCCAGCATTGTGCAGCAGTGACTTGTAGAATAATAGATGATACAGGACTCTCTAAGGCTGAAGCCACCACTTCTACCTACAGAGGATCCAAGTGGGTCCCCCTCAAGGAGATGAAGGAGTTTTTTTCAGGCCAGTGGTTCTGGTTCTGGTCTTTAGGGCTCCTGACTCAGCTTGTCCCAGCTCCCATCTGGCGCTGCTGTCTTCCTGCACCCCACTCCCTCTGCCCATTACACACACATCTTGCAACTTTCCTGGATCTAGCAGCTTCCTGGCAAAGTGTGGTACACCTGGACAGGCCCCCCACCTGTGTACCCTCAGCTCCCCATCTGGCTTCCACATTAGACTCCCTGGCAATGAGAAGCCTGAGTGAACTGCTAAATGGGATCCACAGGGACGGCACTCCATGCTGTGGGGCTCTGCCCTTCCGGGACTTGGGAGCACAGATCACAGCCCTTGCCCCAGCCTGCCCCTACCCTCTGGCGCCTCCCTGCAAAGCTCACCTTCTATTCAAGGAATCAGAGATCAATGCTGGGGCTCATCCTCACCCCTACCCCCCACCCGCAGCTTTATTAACCCTTCACAGCCTAAATGCCACAGGAGTCAGCAGCCTGTTGCACTTATCCAAACACAACCACTGCTAGGCTTCCGCAGAGACCTGCGCAGGCACTCCTGCCCCAAGAATCCTGGGATAAGCAGACCACCACAGTCCCCAGGACAGAGGCCCATGGAAATTCTCTACCTGGAGGACCATAAAGTCCCAGAGGGCTGCAGGGAGTTGAACCAGAAGAGGACCCCACCCATGGATGTAGGTCATGGGGAGGTGTCAGGCATTTATTTCTGGAGCAGAGGTGAGGTGGGTAGGGCAAGGACCTCAGCACCGGACGCAGCTGCGCATGAAGTTGACACAGAGGCTCGTGTAGTAAGTAGGGTAGTCACGGAGATGGCTGACGTGTGCAGATGACTCGAAGTCCACAGAGTGCACCAGGACCCGGTGTGCCAGGCGTGCCTCCACCATGCGCTCCACGTCCCTGGCCAGGACCACCTCGTCGGCCCTGGAGTAGAGGTAGAGCTCTGGCCAGCGAGAGGCTGCGTCGAGCAGCCTGTCATAGAAGTGGGTGTGGAAGAGGGAGGTGAGTGGCGCCAGCAGGACGTGGAACAGGACTGCCACCAGGGCAAAGGCCACCAGGAGCAGCAGGCGCAGCGCGGCAGGCCGGGGCTCCAGGATGGCTGCCAGCGCCCTCAGAGCCCCCAGCAGGTTGCCGTCGCCAGGACCACTGTCAAAGATGGTGCCCACCACACGCAGGTGGCAGAAGCGCCGGTGGGTCTGCAGGAGCTCCAGCACGTATCGGTACAGCATGACGCCGGCGTTGCTGAAGACGTGGAAGAGCAGGGGCTCCTTCTCAACCTCGTAATCAAAGAGCAGCTCAAGCAGCTTCTGGGCCAAGACACGAAGTGAAGGGATGCCCAGGGACTCGGAGAAGAAGACCATGTGCCAGGGGGCTGTGTATCGGATCACGATGCAGCCCTGAGGAGAGGAGAGAGGCCCTGTCCATCCTCGGGGATGGGGTGGGGAGGTGGGGAGCAGCTAAGGTCAGAGGGGTCCAGCAGCTCCAATTTCCACAGGCCCATAAGCTGGCAGTGCTCCAGGCCCTGCTGCAGTCTGGGCAACAGCTCACCTCTACTAGACGCAGGAAGGTCCACTCCAGGCCCATTTGTGGAATAAGCGCTTCATGCTGGCCAAGCCCCCTCAGCCTGGGATGGTATGCGAGGCCTGGAGCCCAGAGCTCACTTTGGAAACATCTGGGCTGACCAGAAGGAAGCCTCCTCACTCTGGTCCGCTCCCTGTCTCCCTCCCACCCCTGACCCTGCACCCTCATCTGCTCAACTCTGGCACATTTAAGGCCTCACTGCTTGGCTACACCCTGCTACAGCGACTCTGCTCTTGCCTGTCCCTACTTCCCAGGGACAAACAGGTATCCCCGCAAGACCCAACACCCGAGACAGCCTGCAGGCCCAGCCTTGACCACCAGAGGCCACCCGTGAGCCAGGCCCACATGGCGTCAGTCTCTGGCCACTGCCACCTTCCCGCAGGGCCCTGAGAACAGAGGCCATACTCCCAAATGTCTGGTTCCAAGGCCTGGGATCACTCCTCACTCTCCCTGAAATTCCAAATACAGTAAACTCCGTTGTTCCTCAAATTCTAAAATCCTAGCTAAACTCTCTCTAGGCCTCTGTGCCCCTCAATGCCTGGGTCAAGTACACCTCAAGGTCTCCACACAGATCCCCTTCTAGGCCAGTTAGAACAGGCAGCCAAAGCCACCCTGAGTCCTAATCCTCTCTCATTAACATGTGCCAGAGACAAAGGGCCCCTTGTCGGGGGAATCTGAGTTAGGCAGGCTCTGGGGTCAGACAGTTCTGGGCTCAATTCCTGGGACCAGCACTTATTAACAGTATGGATGAACAGCAATTTACTTCATCTTTCCGAGTCTGCATTCCCAGCTGTAAGTTGGGATAACATCCATCTCATGGGATTGTGGTGAAAATGAAACGAAAAAATGTACCTCGAGTGCCCAAAACAGCACTTGGCACAAAGTCCTCAGCTAAGAACAGCAGTCATTAGTGGTGGTAGGAGTAATAACAAGGAGAAAATTACATGCGCTCAGTACCCGAACGACCCAGAGCCAGAGAGAGATGGTCAGCTGAGGTAACCCTGCCATCAGCCTCCTGACTTTGTCCCCTCCCGCTGACTGTTATCACATGTGCCCCAACTCCTCCTGGCTCTGCTCTCACCAAGACCCTAGCGTACCTAAGCACCCCTCCCAAGACTCTGCAGGGGGGGTCACGGATGCTACCTGGCCCCGCAGATCTGGAAAATTTCACAAAGAGCTCTGCTCCAACTCCCCAGAGGGTGCTTTCCACCCACCCTCAACTTACACACAGCATCGCCCACGAACGCAAACATACTCCACACCACCACCACACACACACGACCCTTGGGACTAAACACAGCCTTGTCCGCCTCACACCCCACAGATGCAGACACCCATGGCACCCACTGCACCACCTGTGAAGTGTACAAAAAAGCACAGCCACCAACGCACACCCACAGCGCACACACCACTGTAGGTACTACCTTCAGGAGCCCACACATGTGCGTGCACACACGCCCACACACGCTTCTCCCCAGAAGCATTCCCATGCAGCACTACCTGTTGATACAGGCATAAACCCAGCAGCAAGTCCTGGGAACTCACCGTCTCTGAGGGCGCATGTGCCCTCCACCTCCACGTCACCCATGAGTGCATGCACAGAGCTTGCCTTGTGAACGCCCAACACCCCCTGTGAAGGAAGGGCACATACACCAAGCTTCCCTGGGCCTCGCTCTGAGGTTTCCATCTCTGCTGCCACCTCCCGAGTCAGATGCTCCTGGAACCCCCCTGCACCAAGGGCCGGGCTCTCACTGGCTGTCCGATCCCAGTCTCTTCCCTCTCCCCTGAAGCCAACCATCTCTCCATCTCCACACATGCTCGGTCCCAGCCTGATCCATCTGCCCTCACCTCACTCTACTTTCAGTCTCTTCCTCGTTCCAGATTCCTGCTCAAACCGATTTCATTAAAAAAAAATTAAAGCCTCTGCCTTCCTACCATGTTCCCCTCTAACTCTGTCCCACCCTTTCTTCACCTTCCCAAACTTTGACACCCTCTCCACCTGGTCCCCTCCCACTGACTCACTCTGACAGCTGCACTGCTCTTACCATGGTCGCCCAAGTTCTCCCGAATGGCTAAATCCCATGACACCTTTCGGTCCCCACCGTACTTTCCTTCCAGCAGCATTTGGGATTACGAGCGCTTAGAAACACTCTCTGATAGCCCTGGCTCTTCAATAAGACAGAAACAGGAAAAAATGGACTGTTCTAGACTTATAAGAGACTTAAGGAACGAAATAACTAGATGCAATGGGCGATCCTGGATTGGACCCTGGTTCGGGAAAATCAGCTGTAAAGGACACTTTGGCGACTATCAGAGAATCTGAATATGGACTGGAAACTCGATGAGATTAAAATGTATTAACATGGGACGGTGGAGATCATGGTCCGAAAAAAAGCAGGATATAAAATAGTGTATTCAAGAGATCTTATTTAGGTAAAGAAAAGATGCACAAACAGAAAAAAAGCTGAAAGGATATATACTAAGGCTAAATAGAGGTGATCTCTAGGGAACAGACTATGACGTTTTTATATTCTTTTAAATAATAAAGTATCAGGAGTTTGGGGTGGGAAAATTTTTTTCTCTACCCCCATCTTATCCTCCTGACCAAAGGCACCCATTCCTTTCCCAGACAACCCCCTGCCAACGAGCGCTGCCACCTCAACCCCTCTGCCTTCCCTGGGATCACTTCCTCCCTCCACTCCATCACTTCCTCCCATGCCGTCTGCCCCAAGAACATCTTTCCTCTCTCCCTCGACAGTGGTCCATTTCCCTAAGACTCTCTTCCTGTGGATTCCATCACATTTCCCTGAGTTTTCTTGTCCACCTGTAGCCACTCCTCCTTTCCACGTGGGACCCTCTTCGTCTTCTGCTCCTTTAAGCTTGGGTTCTGTCCTGGGCCTCTTCTCCTTGCCCTCTACACACTCCCTGGGGGAAATCTCATCCACCCCAGAGCCCACGGCTTCTCTTCTAGTGCTCCTTGTTTCAAAGAACCCAGGATCTGCTGCAGCCAGAAACCTGGCATTACCCAGACCCCTCCCTATCCCTGTGCCCACACACAATCTCTCATCCAATGACCACTCTACCTCCTAACAAGCTCCTTGATCCATCAACTTCCCTCCACCAGCACCACCAGCCCCAAGGTCCTGGCCACCTCAACAAACTCACTTCCCAGCCTCTGGTCCTGGCCCCCACAGTCCTTTCCCCACTCAGCAGTGAGGGACTCTCAGAAGCACAAGTCTAACATCACACCCCTGTTTAGTCCCCTGAGGACCCTCCCAGCCTCATCTCTTCACACTTGCCCTTTCTTTTGTCCTCTGTTCTGGCCACACTCACCTATTCCCAGTCCTCTGCCTGCCCTCAAGGATCTTAGTCTAATGGAGAAGCCAAACCAGCCTCACCCAGGAAGTAGAATTCAGAAGCAGCTGAAACTACTTAAGGAATAAGGCAATGCCAGAGGACCAGGCTTGTTGGTTGAGGGGAGGCCTCAAGCTCAGAACTACATCTTTCCTCCAACTCCTCTCCCATTCCAGGGCCACCACACACCTGGGGCACAGCACAGATGTGGGTCAGTGGAGGGAGGCTGAGAGGAGGGGGCCCCAGCTGGCCCTTCTCCCAGGTGAGTGCCATTCCTCCTCAGTTCAGGGCTTCCAGCTGGTGGCTGGGGGTCTGTACTGATGCCTCCCTGCTTTGGGAGGTCTGGGCTGAGGAGGGCAGGGTCAGGCCAGCGGCCAAAGCTGTGAAAGGGGCTTCCCAGAGGCTCTCTCCAATAACCACAGCCTCTACATACAACTCTTGGTGCATCCTGAGATGAAGCAAGGAAACCGCAGTCCTGAATCTCTCTTCCAAGAGGCCCTTCTACTCTGGAAACGTGAGGGGTCATGGTCAGCCCTAAGACAGAAACTCACCTGGTCAGAAAAGGAGAAAGCCCCAGGAGTCCAGACTATGCCCAGCACACCTGGCCCAGGTTCCTGCTGCCCAGAGTGGCAGCACTAGCCAACAGAGACTGGAGGTCTGGGCTGACTCCGCAGCTGGGAGCACATCTGGGATGGGCTGTCCACTGTGGGACTTGGGGAGGAAGGAGGGGGAGCAGGTCAGGGGGCTGAAGGGGACAGACCAGGCCACAGAGCTGGCTGCAAAGGGTGGATAATCCTGCCCAAGTCCCCATGGGCCCAGCGTCTTCCTCACAGGCTATTCTTGGTGCCATTCCCAGGCCTTCCTGGGCTGACTGGTGGTCAGCCTCCACTGCAGCCCGGAGATGAGGGCAGCCAAAGCTGGGAGAGCCCCACAGAGCGGCCCCAGTGCACTGGGCGTCCGCACACCGGCAGTACTCACCCTTTTGTGGTAGATGGCGCTGTATTTGGCCAGGTTCTTGTCCGTGCAGCCACCCCAGCCCAAGAGAATCACCAAAGGCTGTCGAGTCCCCGCCTCCTTCCCACCTTGGTTGGGGCTGTTCTCTGAAACACAAGCAGGATGAGACTGTCATCCCTGGAGCTAGGGTTCGGGGTGGGGGTGACTGGCCAATCCAGAGCCAGCGCTACTCGGGCTGCTGGCAGGGGAGCGCCAGGTACCAGGCCCAGGCATCCTGCCGGTCCCTGTGCCTCAGGTTCCCAGGGGGCTCCTTCCTCTGTCCTTCACTTCAACTGGCTTTTAGGCTTCTCAGGAGGCGCTGCAGGGTAACTGGAAAAACCCACCCGAGGGCCCCTTTCTTTAGTGACTCAAAGACATAGCCCAGGTGAGAAAAGTGAATAAATACTTCTACCATGCAATTTCACCTTCTAATCCAGGGATCTACAAACTACAAGCCATGGGCCAAATTCGACCCATGATCTGTTTTCATATGACCTTCGAACTAAAACTAAAAATGTTTTTTACATTTTAAAATGTTTTTGTTTAAAAATCAAAAGAAGATTTTGTGATGTGAAAATCATATGAAATTTAAATTTCAGTGTCCACAAATAAAGTTTTATTGAAACACAGCCCAGCTCATTCATTTACATAATGTCTACAGCTGCTTTCAAGCTAAACAGCAGAGCGGAGTAGCTGCAACAGAGACCACGCAGTTCACAAAACCTAAGATACCGCCCTTTACAGAAAAAGTTTGCCAGTTGCTGTCCTAATTCCATGAGCAGACGGAAGAAGAGGTCTTTAAAAGGAGAAATGGGAGACTTCCCTGGTGGCGCAGTGGTTAAGAATCTGCCTGCCAATGCAGCAGACACGGGTTCAAGCCCTGATCCGGGAAGATCCCACATGCCACGAAGCAACTAAGTCCGTGCGCCACAACTACTGAAGCCCACATGCATAGAGCCCGTGCTCTGCAACAAGAGAAGCCACCGCAATAAGAAGTCCGCACACCGCAACAGAGTAGCCCCCATTCGCCGCAACTAGAGAAAGCCCGCGCACAGCAACAAAGACCTAGCGCAGCCAAAATAAATAAATAAAATAATTATTAAAAAAAAAAAAGGAGAAATGGATAGGGCAGTATAAGCAGGGAAGTGAAGCAGACAGACTCTGGCGGCCACTACCAAACCACCCACCCTGTCCTGACAGAGAAGAATAACAGCCAGTATTTACTGAGGTTTAACCCTCACAACAACAATACGAATAATATTATTACAGATGAGGAAACTGAGGCATAGAGTGGTTAAGTTACTTGCCTAAGGTCACACAGGAAGTGTAGAGCTGGGAATCTGGTCCCTGCTCCCCATCCTAGCTAAGTCACTTGAGACCTCCTGTGCAACCAGCCCCGTCCACAACTAGAAGCTCATCTCCTTCGGTGATGTGCCAAGGCACAAGCCACCTGCCTCCTCCATGGCTGCTTCTGAAGGCCTCCTTGCAAGCTTGTCGGTCAGACCTCATCTCATTTCCCCTGCCAAGTGAGTACCCACCCTCCTTGGGGCGACTTCTGTGCACGGACTGTCTGTTGCTAGTTATCTGCCCTTCTGAAAGGACCAGGGTGTACCCTTCCAAGGATCAAGCCACTTGGCTATGCTCAGCTGCCACCCTAAGATTTACGGATGCTGGTGGTGACCTGGCGACAGTAAATTTCAAGGCTAGTTAAGAGGATGGTAAATATAAATCACTAACCTTTGGACAAAAGGAAGACAACAATTTCCTGTGGAAATTAATGTGATTGAAAAGTTCAGTGTTCCTGCTCTCCAGCAGTGGCAGCTCCGGCCTTTGGAGATTGACTGCCTGCACCCATGGGGATGCCAGACTGAGTTGCAACTCAGCCTGGACCAGGAGCTCCCAGCACCTCAGTCCCTTGCTGACCCCTGCCAGCCGTCCCAGGCTCCCCTGACACCGGCCTCAGCCTCTGATAAGAGAGATGGTCCCACAGCTCTAACCAGGCCACTCTAAATATTCTCACCACCTTTCTTGGCCTGGTGGCCTCCTGTCCTTGGCCAGGGCAGCTCTTCGCCTGCACTGGCCTTTCTGGTGGAGAGGCTCTATCTGGGCCTCATTGGGGCCCTGGCCCAACCTGGCAATGACTACCCGTAAAGCTCAGGCTGCAGCAGCCTCATGCGTGGTAATCGACAGCTACAGTTTGGATCTGCCTTTGACCCTCTGAGGTCCAGCAGCTGGATTTCTGAGACTTGCCCCAGGGAGGCTCCCTAACCTCTGTGCAGCTGTCTGAGCATGGGCTCCCTTCCCCCAGCCTATGGGGCTCCCCTCCAGGTACCACCACCAAGACACCAGCAAAGGGTTTGGGGGTTTATCTCAAAAAGAGAGAAGGCAGCCAGGGGCGGTCACATCCCCTGGTGGCCGCCCTTACCAGCAGTGGTGGGGCATTCCCAGTCCACGAAGGTTCAGACACTTCTGCCGGGCCTCTGAGCTGCCCCTCACCCCACAGCAGGGCTCTATAACTCCACTTTGCTCCACTGCAGGTTTTGCCGGCACCCTTGGCTTCACCAACTCAGGCAGTAATGACTCTTCACCAGACACACATCTCCACAGAGAAACTCAGAATACGGACACCCTGGACACACTGCCTCTTCCCAGAGCCCAAGCTTTCCATAACATTCCTAAAAGGAGGGAATTTGTCCTTCTACTCCAGCCAGGCATTTGAGGCCACCCCCCTGAACCACAAGGTGCTCCTCCTACCCACAGGCATCTCCCACGCCCCGACACAGTCTCTTCCCAGGGCCCCCTCTCCATGCCCATTCCTAACTCAGAGCCTTTGTCATGACCTCCTCCCACTGGAGCCACGCTGCCCACTCTCATTCTAGACATGGAGCGCTATAAACCAGAAAAGTCCAAGATGCTCCGGGAACATGGCTGAGAGAGTGATCGTGACCGCGAAAGGCCTCCCACAGGAAGACTCGCTTGCTGTGCTGGCCTTGACGGACCGTAGGAGCATGCCAGGTGGAGAAAGGGCATGAGCAGGGGCAGGGGACGATGGAGATGTTACAGTTGCTCTGGGGCACAGCAAGCAGTCCTAGGAGGCTAGAAGCCTGGAAGAAGGAGCAGAAGTGGGCAGGAGAGCTGCCAAGAGTGGGACTGGGGCCCAGCCATGCTTAGGAGTCAGGATTTTATCCGGAGCAGTGGAGAGCGAATGAAGATTCTGGAACTGGGGGAGTGGCATGATCCAGTGTGTATTGATTAATGACTTGCACAGTTACTCGTATAATGTCCGTCTCCCCTCAGCCAGTAGGCTCTGTGAAGGCAGGACCTGGGTTTGTTGCATTCAGCGCCAGATTCCCGGTGCCCAGCACTGTAGCTGGCCTGTCTAGGCACTCAGCAGAAACATGCTGAATGAATGAGCACGTGGCAGCAAACTGAAAGACAGATCCAAGGAGAAAGAGCTGGCATTCTTCTTGTTACCTATTGCCCTTTCCAGAGTAATAAAAGTAAGAGCTATGGCTATTGTTATTTATTGCCACCTCCGGGTCATGATTCCTCCATTCTCTGTAAAAGCCCCTGCTCCTTTTATGCTCCTTCCACTGGTCATTCCCCTATCCCCCTCCCACTGCTGACATCTCCTGGCCTCTGGCCACTGCCCCTCAGGCACTGAAGACTCGGGCACTGGCTCTGTCTCCCACTTCTACACCAGGACTTACCACAGCCCTGCACAGGCAATCAAACCCACCTTGGTCCTAAACCATCACAAACCTCTCTGAATTCCACATCTCCTTTAGCTCCTACCTCCCCTTCTTTGCCATCACCAAGAAAAACAATAACGATAACAGCAAAAAGAGAATTGTGTCAGGCACTATTCGAAGCACTTTATATATCAACTCATTTAATCCTCACAACAATCGTACGAACAAGGTACTGTTATTATTCTCATTTTACTGATTAAAAACTAAGCCACAGAGATAGTATATAATTGTTCAAGGTTACACAACTAATAAGCAGTGAAGCTGGAATCCAAACCCAGGTGGTCTGACCCAGAGACTAGCTCATCACCACTACCCCAGGGGGCCCCCTGGGTAAAAAAAACAAGTCTTAACCAAATCTCTTTCCACTCAGCTCCAAACCCGTACACATGGCTGCCTCTGTATATCAACAGATCCAACACCAACCTCTTCCACCTGCTCCTCCTCAGGGACTGGCCATCGCAGTCAGAACCTCAACATACGCTGCCTCATTTGGTCCCTTGACCACCCTAGGAGTTAGCTACTATTGCTATCCCCGTTTTACAGATAGGAAAACTAAAACACAGAGAGGGTAAGTCTTTTTCCCCCAAAACACACAGCCAGGAAGTGGCACAGCCAGCATGCATCTCTGGACCACCATGCCACACTACCCCCCGCCTCCAGGACCTTGCACATGCTCCTCACTCCCCAGCCCTGGAGGCTGATGCTCCATGTTATGCTTTGCTAATGCCCACGCCACCTGCTGAGTCAGCTCACTGTTGACATCCAAGAAGCCCCCCTTGATGCCCTCTCCAGCCCCTTCATCACTAGACTGGGTTAGATGCCCCTCCTCTGTATTGTCACAGCACCACCATCACCATGCCACTGTGCTTATCCACTGCACTGAAAGGGCCCGTTAAGAACAGGTCGTGTTACTACTGTAACATGCAAGGCAAGAGTTGGCAAATGCCTGAACCAGAGCAGTGGGGGACAGGTAGGAAGGGGGAAGGAAATGATAGGGAGAAGAGAATCACAACAATTTTGGAACATGTATTAAAAGCCTCAAAAAACATGCACTCTTTGACTTAGTAATTCTACTTCTATGAAAGAAAAATGTTTAATCATACGGAAATAGTCTGTAATACATTAAACATACATTAAACATATGGAAATAGTCTGTAATACATTAAACATACATTAAACATACAACATACATAATGTAAACATACATTATGTCTACAGATCATAGACATAAATGTAAAACCTAAAACTATAAAACTCTTAGAAGAAAATGTAAGAGTAAATCTTTGTGACCTTGGATTAGGGAATGGTTTCTTAGACATGACTACAAGTACAAGGAATAAAAGAAAAAATAGACTTCATCAGAATTGAAAACTTTTGAACATCTAAGGACACCATCAAAAAGTGAAGAAACCGGACTTCCCTGGTAGCGCAGTGATTAAGACTCCACCTGCCAATGCAGGGGACACAGGTTCGAGCCCTGGTACGGGAAGATCCCACGTGCTGCGGAGCAACTAAGCCTGCGCGCCACAATTACTAAGCCTGCTCTCTAGAGCCCGCGTGCCACAACTACTGAAGCCCACGAACCTAGAGCCCATGCTCCGCAACAAGAGAAGCCACCACAATGAGAAGCCCGCGCACCCCAATGAAGAGTAGCCTCCGCTCACCACAACTAGAGGAAGCCCACGTGCAGCAACGAAGACCCAATGCAGCCAAAATAAATAAATAAATTTATTTTTTTTAAATGAAGAAACCCACGGAATGGGAGATAATTTTTGCAAATCATATATCTGATAAGGGGTTTGTATCCAGGATACATAAAAAAACTCTCACAATTCAAAAATAAAAAGACAAATAACCCAACTTTAAAATGGGCAAAGGATTTGAAGACATTTCTCTAAATAAGATGTACAAATGGCCAATAAGAACATGAAAAGGTGCTCAACATCACAGTCATTAGGGAAATGAAAATCAAAACCACGAGACAGCACATTATACCCACTAGGATGGCTATAATAAAAAGTCAGATAATACCAAGTGTTGATGAGGATATGGAGCATTCAGAACCCTCATACACTGCTGGTGAGAAAGCAAAAAAGGTGCATCTACTTTAGAAAGCAGTTTGGCAGTTCCTCAAAAAAAATTAAACATTGAGTTTCCATATGACCCAGCACTTCCACTCCTAGGTATATACCCAAGAGAACTGAAAACATATGTCCACACAAAAACCTGTACACGAATGTTCACTGCAGCATTATTCACGATAGCCAAAAAGTAGAAACAATCCAAATGCCTATCACCTGTAAATGGATGAAAAAAATGTGGTATATCCATTCAATGGAATATTATTTGGTCATAAAAAGGAATGAAGCACAGCTACAACATGGATGAACCTTGAAAACATATGCTAAGTTAGAGAAGTCAAACACAAAGACCGTATACTGCATGATTCCATTTATATGAAATGTCCAGAATAGGCAAATCCACACAGTAGAAAGTAGATTAGTGGCTGCCAGGAGCTGGAGGGAGGGGGAAATGGGGAGAGACTGCTAATGGTTCAGGGCTTCTTTTGGAGGTGATGAAAATGCTCTGAAATTAGACAGTGGTGACAGTTGCACAATTTTGTAAATATACTAAAAACCAATGAATTGCACATTTTAAAAGGGTGAATTTTATGGTACGTGAATTGTATCTCAATAATGTTATTATTTTAAGAATTAACAGTAACACATTAAGTGAAAAAGCAAGCTGCAAAGAAGTGAGTACAACAGAATACCTATATACATACATACACACATACCTATACATACTTATGTATAGAAAAAATACATCAAACATTAATAGCAATTATTTCTGGCATCAGAGGCAATTTCTTTTTCATGATTTTTTTTTCTACTCACTTTCTAAAATCCCTATGTATCACTTTTGCAATGAGAGTTAAAATATTATTTTTTTAAAAAGGGTGGGGGGAGGTGTCCTGCAGAGTCAACAGCACTTGAGAAGTCAAAGAGATCACAGATACCCAGAAGCCCCTTGGCGAGGCAGAAGTATTCTTTTCAACCCTGGCACTTCTTGAGTACCCCACAAAACAATTTAATCCCACGGGCTCTCTGTCCTCTGGACTTCTCAGCAAACAACACTGACACCAATAATACAAGAATTACAGATACATACTATATTGTACAACAGTTCAAGTCATAAAACTAAAGCATAAATTGGATTGTGTACATCCCAGGGGCTTATGGGGAAGACAAAGGAAAGGGCTGACAAGATATTGTTCCAATCTGTGGAACAATATGTGCTTTTCTTCTGCAAGCCGGAACGAAAATACAAAGAACCTATGTTTTCTTCTTAAAATACAAGGAATAAAAGGATCCTCAATTTCCTCTACTCCCAAGAAATACTTTCTAGAGTCTCACAGTTCCTATATTTAAACCAAATTACTTCATTTTAAATTTACTTTTTTTTTTTTTTTTTGGAGTAACAGCATAGGAGAGTAGCATGGTATCTAGGAGTGCATACTGTATAAAACCATACCTGGGTTCAAGTCTCTGGTTCTGCCACCAATAACTATGAAACAGACCTTGAGCTAGTTCTCTAAGCTTCAATTTCCTTATCTGTGAAATGGGGATAATAATACATAGGACTGAATAAGACAGTGACTACTGAGGGCTTAGCATGTTACCCTGGCACAAAGAAAGAGTTCAATGAATTGAAGTTATTATTACTTCATGAGGAATGCATGCTCACTGTAGAAAAAGCAGAAAATGAATATCTCATAAAATTGGAACCATACTGCTTTTGTAATCTGCTTTCTTCAATTTAGCAATATATTGTGAACATCTCTCCCTGTTGGTTTATATATCTCTGCCCCATTCTTTTTAGTGGCTGCAGAGCAGCTATAGAATATTTCATAATTTATGGTGACCAAGCTCCCATTATTGGACATGATGTTGTTTCCAATCTTTTGCTGTTATAAAAATACTTTAATGGACACCTCTTTCCTCCTGCATGTCCTTAACTGTTTCCTGGAAATGGAACTGTATGTAGGCAGTACTTCCTGATGGCAACTGAAATCTGCATGCACAGGCTTTGGAGTGAGGCTCCCAAGTTGGAATCTGGGATAACTTGGGGCAAGATACTTCACCTCCCCTGAGCTTCTGTTCCTCATCTGTAAGACGGGATAAGAGTACTCCCTACTTCACAAGGTGGTCGTGAGAAGTAATAAAATCATAAGAGAGGTTCCTGGCAGGCCTGGCATGTGAGCCAGGCATGGTCAACAATGTAAGTGCAACAGAAACCACAGAGACCTCAGGCAAAGGAGGCCAGCAAAGGGTCCTTCACGTCTGGAGCTCAGATCCAGGGCCTAGCACGGTGCCTGGTATAAAGCAGACAAATTAGGAAGGGTTTTTATTAATGTATGAAAGAAAACATACCGTGATTTAAAAAATAAAACTCCACTGTTTAAAAAAGAAAAGCACCTACGGGGTCCCCACAGACAAGAAGAGGGTCTAGTCCCAACCCTTCGCCCGGGCCTTTGAGGCCTCTCTGGTATGACAGCTCTTGAGATTTTCTCTCTGGCTCCTGAAAGCACCCGGCGGCCTGCCGCCAGGGCCCTGCTCTCTCGGGCCACTCTCAGTCCCCCCAGTGCCCCTAGTTCTGCACTTCCTGCTGCTCCCCATCTACCTGTCAGCCCTCCCGCAGCTCCGGGTCCAGCTTGGGCCACTCTACTCCAGGAAGGCAGCTGACCCCTGGGGCCCACCATGGTTGTTTGGACTGTGGTCCACCCCAGACTGTTTCCCCGGTGCCAGGGAGAACTTCCTGGGGGTCAAGACAAGGTCTACATTTCTTTGACCCCGGCAGGCGCTCAGCAGAAGAGCAGACTGGCAATTAAGCCTGGGCCTACAAGAAACCTATCACTTCCCTTCTCTGTGACCCCCCCCACCGAAGGCTTTCTTTGTACTCTAAGAGTGAGCCCCTTGTCCCAGCCTCATTAATTCTGTGAATCAATTATTTCTAAAAAATGTTTACTGAACATGAAAGCAACAGGGTGCCTTTAAGAAGGCCTGCTGGCCTGCCAGTGAGCCGCAGAGGGGCCCCAGGGCAGGGCTTGGCTGACCATTCTCTGGCTGGGAGGAGGGGCAGCACAGCCCTGGCCTGGGATGGCAGAGCAACTTGGGCCAGGCCCAAGTGCTGCCTAAACGACTCCCTTCAGCTCATTTGGCACTTCATCCTTGCCAGGCTCTGGCAACACTGAGCAAAACCTCCAGCAACACGACAGGGATCCCTGCTGTGGGAGCCCCGAGAACAGAACCTTCCCCAAAGAAATGAGATGAGAATACCCGACTCTCACTTAGGAGGGTGAGGGGATCACTGGTCAAAGAGGAGTGGGTGGGATGGCGGGAAATGCTAGGTCAAGAGATCAGCTTCAGCAAAGGACCAGGCAGACGACCCTCATTTGGCCCAGACAGCCATGGATACTTGCTGGTGGAAATCCCAGCAGAAGGACCCTGGGCTCTGAACGACCCCAGATCTGTAGCTGCCTTCCAGCTAACTGATGTGCCAGCAGAAGCTGCTCGCCTCTCTATCAACTCACAGCAGTGCTGGGCTCTGTGGCTCTGATGCTCAATTATGGGGGAAAAGCAATTCCAGAAACCAAATATGACTGTCCTACACACTTCTCCACCATTAAACAGTAATTGCAAAAGAGAGACAATCTCTGGACCCCCAAAGATTGTCTGTGAAGCCCCGTCAGCCTGGAGGGGAGCTCTCTGCAGACAGGAAGAAAACAGATTCAGGGGATCACAGTGCTGTCACTTCCTTCTGAGAGGGCCATACCGCCTTGAGGTCAGCTCTGGGCTATGCACTTTGAGAGGGAAAGGAATGAGAAACCAAAGCCAGTGCAGAGGAGCAATGAGAAGGAGGAGGCTATTAGAACCACACCAGAGGAGGAACAACTGAAGGCCCTGGAGGTATTTCTCTTGGAGAAGAGAGATGAGCTTGAAAAGAGAGGAAGAGAGACTACCTTGCTCTGTGTTGCACCCACCACGACCTCCTAGCCCTGCGGTTACCACGTCTTTGTGAAACCCCCTGCTTCTGAGCCCTCAGCCCTCCCCAGAACCACAGCTCCTTGAAGGACTCTGTGTGTGAGTCACTTCTGAGGCACCAGCAACTACTAACCCATCGCCAGGACACAGCAAATGCTGAACTGAAAGCAGAAATGACAGGAAGGCCTATTGTGGCTCAAGAAAGGGAAGTGCTTTCTAACAATCCCAGTTGCCTCCAACAGGCCAGGATATTTGGGAGGAAGCATCCTGTCAGGGAAGGGTCTGGTGGCAACAGCATGCTCTCATGCCAGGAGAAGGATGCAGGACAAAGTGGCCCCCTGAGATTTCCTCCAATTCTAGGACCCAGCCCCCTGAAGCAGGGAGGGGAGCCACAAGGGGAGGAAATATACCAACGGAGCACCTGCTCCATGCCAGGCACACACATCCAGTCACTACCTTGTTAACCCTCACAACAGGGAATCTGAGGCTCAGAGAGGTTCAATAACTTGCCAAAGCCATAGAACAGCAGGAGGTAGAACTGAAATGCAAGCCAAGACCGCCAGGTTGCCCACGTGGGATGAAGGAGAACTTCTGCCCTCCTGGCCATGCAGAAGGCAGCCCCAGCTCTTTGCAGCTGAAGGTTCTCCAAGGGCAATATTACTAACTGGCTTTATCTCCCACTGATGCCAAAACTTTTCAAAAGCATTTTTACATCTATAAGCCTAAGAGCCCTCGGCCAACAGAGGGCTCTAGGGGAATACAGCTGGTCTGGAGCCATCTGTTCTAGGGGAGCCTAGGGGTTGCACTCCCCTCCTAGACCCCACCCAAGGAACACAAGATGCAATAGGAGGGGTCTGGGAAGGCTCTCCTGAAAGAGGTAACATCTGAGCGAAGCCTTAAATAATGAACTAGGGAAGCGAGGGGGCAGTGTGGGGCAGCAGAGGGAAAGGGCATTCCAGACAGAAGAAATGGAGGGAGCACAGGCAGAGAAGCAAGAAGTGTGTGGAGAATCACAAGCAGTTTGGGGTTCCTAGAACATAAAACTCAAGTTGAACAGTGGAAGGACACAGTTGATCAAAGAGGTAAGCAGGGTCTGCTAAATTATGGAGGACTTTGAATACCATGCTAAGGAATCTGGATTTGATTTATCCTGAGGGCAATAAGGAGCCACTGAAGGGTTTTATGTAGAACAGTGATAAGATCAAAGCTTTGCACTGGGAAGATGGTTGTGGTAGCAATAGAAGAGGCTGAGCTGCAGCTGGAGGTGTGAAGACGATGTGGAGTAACGCAGGCAAGACATGCAGCTTAGGCTGGGGTGCATGTCAAGGCTCCTCTACCATGATTCCCAATCAGGGCCAAACTTTCCATTCTCTGGGCCCCCAATCTGACTCACACTGACAGGGACCCAGACCTGTTCTACAGGCTACTAATTTTGTGGAGCCTCCCACACATCTTTCTGTAATGATATGACTAGAGAGGAAAACAAAGCTAATCATTAAGCTCACTCTGTGCCAAGCATTATGCTGGGTCCTTTAGACAAATAATCTCAGTTGTGCAACCAACAACCCTAGGAGGGAGGTTACTATTGGTACCCCAGCTGTGCAGATGAGGAAACCGAAGTTCAGAGCTGGAAGCATGCCAAAGGTCATCCAGCTACTAAAGGGAGGAGTCAGGATTTGAGCAGACTTCTATTTCATGGCAGAGACGGCTCTGTAACCACTGCCAAGGAGAGTGCAGAGGAGGGAGGGATGAAGGCTCTGTGTCCTGGGCTTTTGCATGGACCCCGAGGAAAACAGTGGATGAAATATAATGGTTGGGACCCCTAACCACAACTGCCGAAGAAAGGCTAGCTGTGGGAAGCCCGACCCCAAACAAAAGAATCAGGAGGGCCTTCAGCTACCAGGAGAGAAGTGAAGGTACGGGCCTGGGAACTCCGACTAAAGAGACAGAAAGAAGGGCCCCAACCTACGGGGTTTGGGGTCGGGTAGACGCCGCGAAGGGGCGGGGCTCGGACACCAAGAGCACTCTGGGGGAGGGGCTTACTAGGGGGCGGGGCTCTCTGGACCCAAGTCTAGGACCTGCGGTGAGAGGGGCCCCCCCGTGAGGGGGTGGGCCGCGAGAGGACAGGGCCGCGAGAGGAGCGGGGCCACAGCTGCGCTTGAGACCCACAGACTCCTTAGGTCACCTCCCCACGACTGGACCCAACCCTCATTCCATACCCCGGCTCCGGCAGGGCTGATCCGGGATCTCGATGGTGTAGTCCAGCTGGGCCGAGGCCATGATGAAGGCGCCGGCCCTCAGCTCGGGCCTCCGGCCGGAACTCTCGCTCACGTTCCCGCACCTCACCCGGGAGCCTCCTGGGCACCGCCCAATCACCACCCACCTCCCTCGACGCTACCCAATCCCTGAGCCGCGCTCTGTGACCTCCCGCCTTAGCAACCACCGAGTCTCTCTCGGGGCCTCACGCAGCACCCTGCTAGCTCGGCCCTAGCAACCATGCCCCGCCCCGCTCTATCCCTGGCCCTCAGCCATTGGCTGACTCGCTTGATCTGGGTCAGGTATTGGCCAGCCAAGACGCCGGTCAGGAAGAGTCCCCACCCTCCTGTGTAGGTAAGAGGGTCTGCGGGAGAGTTGCTGTGTTCTGGGGTCGGGGAGGGTTTTCCTTCCTAAACCGTGTCTTATCGTACTGGGTGGACAGCAGTGCCCTTTGACTTACATCACCTAGCTATCTCTACTACCCTCTACCAGCCGCAGCTCCGAGGGCTAGAGGTAGAAAACCGTACAAAACGACCACAGGAATGCGTGCCAGCCCATCCTCCACCCAGCTGGTCGAGGAATATTCTGACTGGTGAGATGGGGAGGATGCAAAGGAGGTGCTATTTTCTAGCGAATACTTTAGAGAATGCCCTGTTCGTGCGGGACATAAAGGGGCTAGGGGGTACAGTTTTCTTAAATTTATCAACGCGCTTAAAAAATATTTACTGACCACCTGTTACATAGGTGGACTCTAGTGAGGATTAAGTTTTTGGCTCTGACTTCCGTAAGTCTTAAAAGGAGAGGGAAAGAAATCATGCATGAGCCAACTGCAATACTGTGCAAGGGATAAGTACTACAAGAAGAGTAGGCCCTAAGGATTTTAGGAGCTCAGAATTAGAAGGGGCATTTATGGCAGTGCTGATGGCTCTTGAGCTGGGTTTTGAAAGACTTGTGGAGACGTGAGACCTTACAGGGCTCAAAGAGAGGAAAGTGAGGGCTTCCCTGGTGGCGCAGTGGTTAAGAATCTGCCTGCTAATGCAGGGACACGGGTTCGAGCCCTGGTCGGGGAAGATGCCACATGCCGCAGAGCAACAAAGCCCATGAGCCACAACTACTGAGCCTGCACTCTAGAGCTTGTGAGCCACAACTACTGAAGCCTGCGTGCCTAGAGCCTGTGCTCCACAACAAGAGAAGCCACCCAATGAGAAGCCCACTCACCGCAACGAAGAGTAACCCCCGCTCGCCACAGCTAGAGAAAGCCCACGTGCAGCAACAAAGGCCCAACGCAGGCAAAAATAAATAAATAAATTTATAAAAGGAGAGGAAAGTGAGGGGTCGGTGCCAGGAATTATGAGCATTTCCTGGCCAGAGGAGAGACTAATGGGAGAGCAACCTTGGAGGAACAGGTAGGCCCAGATTCTGGAGGGTCTTTGATACCACACTCAGCTCTGAACTTATGGGTAGATCTTACTGATGGAAAAAATTTCCAATGCAGTTTACACCAATGAGCACAAGAGCTTAGACTTTATCCTAAGGACAATGGGGAGGCTGCAGGGCTTTAAGTGGAAGAGTAACAATCAGATATGTGTTTTAGAAAGATCAATGAAGAGAATGGATTGGGGACTGGGAGAAGGAGGGAGACCAGTTTTGGAAGTTGTTTTAGTAATGGGGAAGGATTATGGTGGCCTGAAACATGGAGAGGTAACAGGATTGAAGAAAAGGGGATGGATTCCTTAGACACTTAGGAGTTTAAAAGAACTGGACTTGGTGACTGGTTGGACATGGGGTGAGTAGGAAAAATGAAGAATGACTTCTAAATTCCTACTTTGGGCAAACAGAAAGGAGAGTTCTTAGGAGAGGGTCAGTTCTGGGCATGGTGAGTTTGAGGTGCCAGTGGGACATCCAAGTGGAGGTGTCCAAGAGGCAGCTGAGTATGCCTGACTGGAGTTTGCAAGATAAGTCTAAACTGGAAATTTAAATGTGCAGTCTGTTGTGCCTTATATGGCAGCCACATGAGTGGATTGATTTGTTGGGCTTGCCCAGGGAGTATGTGTAGAGTAAGAAGAGAAGAGGGCCTAGGACAGAGCCCTGAGAAGCACCTACATTTGAGGTTCTGCAAAAGTAATTGAGATGAAGTGTCCACAGTGGTTAATTAATCAGTAGTAGAACATGGTTTCCCAGAAACCAGGGGAGGAAAGTGTTGAAGGCTGATGACTAATCAAGTAAAATAAGGTCTAAAAAAAATCCACTGGCTTTAGAAACAAGGAAGTGGTTGTAAAGGCAGTTTCAGTGGCGTGGTGGGAGCTGAGGTCGAATTACAGTGAGCTGAGAAGTGGGTGGGAAGGTGAGGAATGAAGACTACACTTTTAAGAAGTTTGGCTCTTTAAGAGGCAAAAAGAGAGAAGAAGATAGCTGGAAGGAGAGGCAGGTTTTTATTCAGATGGGAGAAATGCTGTTGGCATGGATCCAGCAAAGAGAAAAAGATAATATTATAGGGAAAAAGAGATGACAGAGAGTGGCGCCCCCAGAAAAAGAATAAGGTAGGGCAACAGTCCCCAACCTTTTTGGCATCAGGGACCGGTTTGGTGGAAGACAATTTTTCCACGGATGGGGCAGAGGAGGGGATGGTTCAGGCGGTAACGCGAGCAGTGGGGAGCCATGGGAGCGGCAGATGAAGATTCGCGCCCTTGCCCGCCGCTCATCTCCTGCTGTGCGGCCCGGTTCCTAACAGGCCATGGACTGCTACCGGTCCGCGGCCTGGGGGTTGGGGACTCCTGAGTAGGGGATCCAAAACATTAGTGGAGAAGTTCGCTTAGAGGGACATTTGCACTGTGACAGAAAGGAGGCATGTGAGATGAGTACATTAGTAGATTTGGTGGCAGGAACTTGAGAGAATTCTTGTATGGTGGTTCCTACTTTTTCTGTGGAATAAGGACATGGTATCAGCCAGGGAGAAAGGGATTGGAGATGATTTACAAGATTTGAGACCAGCAGAGAAGGATTGAAATAGCTGCAGTGGAGAATGGGAGCAAGATGACCGAGGTAGCATACAGCTTTCCGGGCAGTTAGAGCCCTATTGAGGTTGGTGACCATTATTTTGTAGCAGCAGCAGTCTGCATGGTGGTGTGCTATGTATTTTTCCCCCAACAATATTCAGCCATCTACTGGTGGCTGCAGAGAGGTGAATTGAGTTGATCCAGGTTTGAATTTTATCAGGTGGATGAAATGGAAGGACAAAGGACAAGGAAGTTGAGGATCCTGGCAAAAGAGTGGTTGAGATGGTGGATCTTAGACCTAAACTGCATAAGAGAGAGTAAAAGTGTTACGGGCTGGAGGTCCCAATGAAGTCAGAGAACCCATATCTTGGAAACAGTTGAATGAGAGAGTTATGATGAGAAAGTGGAGTAATGAAGTTTGAGTAGTTTCAAGTGATGACAGGGTCCAGGGTATGACCACGGTAGCAGGTGGCCAAAGTGGAATACAGAATACAGCCAAGATGTTGACATGGCCATTGAAATCCCCCCAGATGATGGCAGGACCTGAGGAAGGAAAAGGAAAGAGGATGCTTGTGAGCCAGGTACCAGTAAAGCAGGTTGTTCTGGAGTCTGTAGATGACAGCAAAAGGAGGGGCAAAGGTCAATACAGCTGAATGGCATGACCCTAAAGTAGCAAGGGTTTTTACAAAGAGCAGGTAGAATAGGAACTGAATTGGACTTTGGTGGCGAGACATTAGCCCCTCTCCCAGTCCTGAGATCCCTTGGGTTTAAGAGTATAAGCAGCTTCCTCCAGGGTCGGCTATGCAGAAGTGGCGCCCTGAGGAAGAGCCAGCTTCCAGGGCAGGCTGGAGGTGGGCAGAGCGAGTGTGGAGCCGCTAAGTGTGGAGGAGACTTTGCTGATCAGAAACAAAAGTTTTCCAGGGAAGAGTAAGAAGGTTGGGAAGGGAAGGAAGGACAGGAAATCAGGTCAAGGAAGATGAAGCATAGAGCAATGAAGGGGTGCGGAGAACGTGGGCAGAGAGACTCTGGTTGACCTAGAGAGTTACATTTTGTGGGGAGGGCATGAAGCCAGGCCTGTGGAGTGGAGCTGGGGGCAGAAGTGAGAGGAAAAGGGGGTCCATGGGTAGAGAATGAGGGTAGGTCTGGGAAGCTGGTGACGGCAGTAGGTTTTGCAGGAAGGAGATGGGGAAAATGGTCTATGGAAACAGGGTGGAGGGAATGGTGGCTGGCTGTGGGGAAGAGATGGGGCAGATGGAGTCTGTGAAGAGGGTATAAGTGGGGAGCAGAAGGAAGGGCATCTATGAGAAGAAAGTGACAAATTGTGTTGCATTTGGCCCTGAGGTGGAAGTAAAGGCCAGGACACCCTCTTTGGCTGGGCCTGAAGTTGAAAGGAGAATGTTTCTGTCTCTGTCTCTATCTCTTCTCCCTCTCTCTCTGAATGAGGAGCTGAAAGTAAAGAGTTGGGTTGGGAGAAGGCCTCTGTCCCATTGTGCAGGTGGAACCCACAGGAATAGGAGACAGTGACTGCCTTATCTCTGAGGCCATGTGGGGACAAGGAGCCAGGCTGGCAGCCCATGCCCTGGAGGCTTCTTGCTTTTAGAAATGTGTCTTTTGATTTAGGAGGAAAAAAGCCCTCTGAGAAATTTTATTTAGAAGTGAAACCTAGTGACCTTTTGATTTTTTTTTTTTTTTTTTTTTTTTTTTTTTGCGGTACGCGGGCCTCTCACTGTTGTGGCCTCTCCCGTTGCGGAGCACAGGCTCCGGACGCGCAGGCTCAGCAGCCATGGCTCACGGGCCCAGCCGCTTCGCGGCATGTGGGATCTTCCCGGACCAGGGCACGAACCCGTGTCCCCTGCATTGGCAGGCAGACTCTCAACCACTGCACCACCAGGGAAGCCCTGATTTTTAATACCTCTTCTCACTTGTTGCTAAGGACCTTTGACTTAGTACAAGAGCCGAGGGTTTTGAGATTTCTGTGATTTTCGTTTCCTGGCACGAACAAGAACCGTTTGGCTGCTATAGAAATGATTTATGGATGAGTCCAGATTTATTAATCACCTCTGAAGAT